TTTGTAATAATTCAATTACCTACTCCATTCAAGAGTATATTTTATGTGTTAATATATTTTATTTATGTAACTCATTTTGACCTTGCCACTTACATGCAAGTTACATTTTGCTCCCAGTATATTTAACTAAATTAAAATACTAAAATATGCGTAGGTAATAGATATATATATACAAATATACACATTTGGTACCAATTTATCACACATGCAGGGCCTATAATAATATTATAGGCTATTATTAAAATCAATTATAAAAAAAAAAAATACTCAACAGATTAACTCAAATACATCATATTGAATTATAAACGACAACTAATCCGTACATTCTTATTTTATTCACTATGCACTTACACTATTTTAGACGATCAATAATTAATTATTCTAAAACTATAAACGTTCTAGCTAGAAATATTGAAGTTTGACAATATTTTTATAAAAGTTATTAAATTAGACTGCAAAATATGCGTTAATTTCGTAATATATTTAAACTTTTAATGATATGCATTTATCAACTAATTAATCCATATAATAAACTTAATACAAAAAAGAGATTTTTCGCCATAAAATAGTATAGAACGGATAGAATGTATTCATTTGGTATGTCACCAATAGATTACTACAAGATCGCGAATGGAATATTAATATTAATATTATGTGAGTGTACAAAGTTAAATTCGTATAGAGTACACGTAGGAATGTCCTGTAATGGATATTTTCTATCCGGCCAAAGATGTCTGATAGATGACTGTAATTTTATCTAATAAACTGGTTAGATATACATTTTGTATTACTCATTAATCTACAAGTAAATAAATGATTATTTAAAAAGTAGCTACTTAAATAAAATATACATTTAAATTTCCTATCAAGAAAAATTGTACTAAAAACGCAATGGTGGCCTTAGGTTTTAATCAAAATATATATGTGAATATCAAATATAACTGTTATTATTATTGAAATATTAAAAATTATGATAAATGTACATAAAAAGTCAAAAATTTATTCGTTTGGAATCGATTATATTTGTTAAAAATATTTCATTAGAATAACATATTGTTAGCATTATATTTTCAAATGGTTATTTAATCATACTACTTTAGAGCGTAATCCATTTTAAATATTATATTATGTCGGAAACCAATATGCTCAAAAATGTAATTTTACAGAAACTATTGTATTAGAAACCTATGTTATTGGAACTGAAATATATGGTTCTGAACAAATATTTTTCTGAAAAAAATATTTCTAAATCTAGTATAAAATTCAGAAATAAATTTTTAAATTTTTATGTTCTTCCAATTATTTTTAAACAACATATAGACCACAGTTACGATCATCAAAATAATAAATATTATAACTTATCGTACGAGTATATACCTACTTTCAAGAAAAAAAATATAACTGGAAATTTCGCGATTGTAACGTTTGTACATACACACTACACAATATTTTTTAATAAATTGTATCATATTTTATAACGGATACAATGATTTCAAATATGATTGTATCAATATTTACTAGATACTATCGTTTTCGTTCATTCTCGCCAACTTATAATACAAATTTTTTATTTCTACGATTTTATAGTATAATTCTATTGAAACGATTTTTTCGACTCTTCATACGTATACCAAACCAAAAACGGTATCTGCACAGTACTCCAGAGTTCACATAGTGTGAACGACCGCCCGAATTCGTTTTTTTATACTTGATTTATGGTAACATATATTTTTACACTAAAAAAATATGGGTTTAGGTATATAGTAACGCGTATTTATACTGTTAGCTATATTATGACATTTGTTTAAACTGCAGAATAAGGCGACATTTGTTTGAGATGGATCAAATTATAACTATTACCTACTATAGGTTTTTTTTGGAAAAACTGCACACGGGATGTATGAACAACGAATTGTCCAAATCAATATCAAATATAAATTACCTATTATGTGCACGATAAAAAAAACCCGTTAACTTAGCCACGTGTTTCGATGGTACAACGAATATAAATTTTCTATACTTAAGGAGTGAATTATCGTAGCAGACAACGAATTCATCGAATAAAAATATATACTGCAATCGCATGTAAACAAACGGATATTTTTTTTGCGCCGCCGCCTCCACTGTCGCTGTCATTGAACCTGTGTCGCATTGGCTGGCGACCTTGACGCAAGACAAGATGTTCGCATCGACCAAGTAAGTCATTAGTAAGTATACAGTAATTTTTGTTTGATTTTTTTCTATATTAATCACCAATCTTAACCCTTAGCTCAACCAAAACCATATTATTCTTCGTGTGCGTCCTAACATCTTCGCTATTGTGATAAGTTAATGAAATAAATACCTTTATATTGTGAGAACATGATGGTAATATCATACCCACTCGTTGTGCGTTCAAAAAATACGTTTACTAAGAGAGTACAAATAAATAATGAAAATATGTACACGAGTTTAGTGTGATCGTGTATAATAGGATGATAGCGCGATGTACTCCTTCTTGAGTAACCGCCCACCGAAATCGAATAGGTACGTTTAAAATGTATACTTTACTTCGAGTAGAAGTTGACAGACGTGCCGTTTGCAAAATAAATATTAAAATTATATTTGGTATACCTACATTCTATTTGGACAACTATTATAAATTGCTATATAAACATATATATGTATTTATGTATTTATGTATATAATATATATGTGTATATACATTATATGCATGTAGAACAGACGTGCAAGGTCCTACATTTTTCACGAGACGCACCCGTATTCAAGATTTATAATAATACGCGTGATACTGAATAAATTATGTTTTTGTTGGATTAAAATATAAAACGCAATTACATTTACACTGAATTATAATAAGAGAAAAAACGATTTGAATTCCAATTACCTCAAAAATCCATCCCTCCGAGTCCTAAATAATAAAATAATTGTTATTATACTTGTCTATCTTATGATGGTATAAATTTATTATATAACTAATAATAACAATATAAAAAATAAAGCATAAATGGTACTATAAAAAGTCTAAAATTTGATTAATAATATGTCGGCAAGACAAAAGTTCAACCGTATTATTATTGTTTCGTATTTACTATTTTATTTTTACAAGTAAAAGATAATAATTGTACTCTACGTAATACATTATTTAATTACGACTTGAAGAAAGTTAATAAGTTATAACTTCATTGATTTTATGAAAAGTCAAAACTATTGGGTAATATAAAGATCAGTATAATTGAACTACCGCGAAGTAAATTATTGAACTCGTTAGGAGACGATTAGTCAAAAATAGTTATAATAGACTTTCTTAACATGCAATATCTCATCAGAAATCAGAATTGTACGCTAATAATAATTAATATAATATTTCTAAAATGATTTATTTTCACTATTATTTATGGTCAATTAAGTAATTTAATTATCAACATGATGATAAAATATTATCATTGATGGTCAATAAGATATAAGATGTTTCAAACTATAGTTGTATGGTTTGATTTTTATTGCATAGTTGATGTATATAAATTATAATACACATGCTACATTGAATGTCACAAATGGTGCCAGCATGTGGTTTCAAAATTAATTTACTAACAATTGTCTATATATATTATTTTCATCGCAAAAGAAAAATTTTACAATCAATATACGTGTATACTTTATGCTTTATTATAAAATATAAATAAAATACGTCTTTTATTAAAAAAAAAAAAAAACATAAATAATAATTCGTTTGAAGTATGTTAACAAGAATTATGAGTTACAATAAAATATAAGCTATATATAGATTTTATTTTAAATAAATAAGTAATGTTTATAATGTTATAGATATATTTAATTGTACTACGATGATGATTGATGAGTATACCTAACATTTTGTAAAACGGAGTTGGATAATGACATAATTTTACGTTCAGTTTAATAAATAGGAAAAAAAACTTAAGATTCCTTACACCCTAAATTTATTAACTATATAAAATAAATCAAATAATGGTATTTGCTACAAAAATTATCAACTAAACAATTCATTATGACAAGAAGTCTAAATAAATTAATCATAAAATAAAAAAAAATAATCAACTTAATCAAAATATATTTATACATATACTTTTTTTATTAAAAAGCCATTTGATAATAATTATTATAGTAATAAATAAACATTTTATGAAAATTAAAATATTTAAAGAAAATTGAATATGTACAACATGTTTTGAAAAAAAGATATGAAACAAATCGATTGACATTATATTTTTTCAAATTTAATCTTTTTATATTTTAAAAATATGGATATATTATAAAGTATAAAACTTTAATTTAAAATATTACTTAACTACCCACTTACTTGTGGATTGTCAATTTATTATTTTATTTTTTTTATAAAATTTATAAAAACGTAAAAACATAACTTATTTAGTTTATTACACAATTAATTTATGATATTTTTTTTTTTTACATTATACATAATACATTTTGTATTATTTTTTTTAATTTTACATCTGAATAAAATATTAAATTAAAATTCGGACATTATTTTCGGAAATCTTTATTTAAGTAATGTTATTACATAGACGCATTAATTATTTTAACTGATTAAATTATAATTAGACTGGCTTTCAGTCGAAATATCACATTTTATTAGGTTTACGACGATCTAGTAAGATAAAAAAATGAATAAAAAAAATAACTTGAAACCAGTTTTTTGAATACAGTTAACTATGTTTAAAACATATTTAAATACGATACACCATCTAAGAATGTAAATTATATTTGCAAAAAAATGTAGTGCTGAACGACAGAAATGTCTATATATAATAATATACCTACCTTACATAAAAATAATATATATATATATATATATATATAAATCAGTCGTTTCAGAATAGATATTAGGAAAGATAACTAGTTTAAAAAATGGTCTTTTAAAACTATTATTAGTTATGACTATATAAAAATACCTAATATATCTAAATATTATACGAGAAGTCACCCTCAGTCCTTACCTTCGATTATGACCGCGTCATCAGTGTAAGTCTCGCGGTATGCTTCACTCCTCAGGGTCAAAGTTGGAGAGACAAAGTGAAAAATCAGCAATAGGACAGTGGTGGTCTGCAGTCGCAAAGGCAGATTGCAATGATTATGAGAAGGTCGCTGCTCATTTGGCCGATCCGGCCCGGTAGACTTCATCGTCTCAGATGGTTTCTCTGCTGTTTGCGCGAGACGGTGAGACCTTTGAATCGTAATATTATAAAGGTGTTGGAGTTGGCAGCGTTTAAATCGAAATATGACATTCGACGGCAAAATGATTTCGCACTACGACCGGCTGTGGTGCCGGTAATCAGTGCAACTGACCGTTGGTCACGAGACGCAGCCGCCATTTATTGAGAATCTTGTGCGCGCGTGAGGTTGCGGTTACTTCTACTTCTACTGAATACTACTACTACTACTATACTACTACTACTAAGTGTCACTCCGACAGTTTATTATACACGATATTTATATACATATGAACACTGTACAGGATGTTTCAACCGTGCGTTTGTTCCCGTACGTTTAATAGCTATAATCTATATAAATTGGATAATATTTATTTTTTTAAATAATAAATAAAAACGATATTTTATTTAACTTTTAAAATAAAATGTTAACACCTTATAAATAGAATGGTTCATATTTTTACGAAACACTAAAATCAAATATTTTTAATAAAATTATTATAAGTAAACCAAAAACTGATATATTATTCAAACGTAATAAATTATGGCACTTTAGTTTCAAGTTTATTATTAATAAAATAAGTTATAGACGTAGTCAAACCACCGCATGAGACAACCATATACCGTGTAGTTTTGAACAGTATATATTATATAAGTACAATATATTATGGTTTTAGCACGGAATAGCTCTTAAATATTAATTTGACAATACTGATTTACATTATCCTTAGTATAAACATTTTCATAATTAGAAAAATACTCGTTTAAATTTTAAATTAAGTATATCAATATTTAAAAAAAAAATTATCCACAAAATAATTTACAGTAAAAATGAAGAGTTCTCATTTGAAACACAGAAGTATGTGAAGTTTCGTCACATGACACTTCTTAATTAATACAAAAAAAATATCAATTTGAATAAATTAATTATTAAAGAAAAATAAAAGTGGTATGTTTGGTGAATGGTCTACTATTGTATTATAATAAACATTATGTAATGCATTATTTTGCAATATAACTCATGCTCAAAAGTTTTGAAATTTCCTATTTTAAAATAACAAAAATACAAAGCTAAAAAACTATATTATCATGAAAACTTTTGAATCCTGTCAATATGATCGAATAAAACGTAATATTTCATCATCTGAAATTTTTAAATATAATAAAAATAAATTGTAATATTATAATTATAGCACACAAAGATTAATAACATTTTGAAAATATAATACATAAATCAATTAACTTAAAATTCCATTAACTTGAATTAATTATAGCCAAGGTGGCAGTGTTTTAAAAGAAGAATAATATGTGTTTAAAATAATAATAATTTTTAAATCAAATTAAAGCTTGTTTTTTTGTTTTACTTTTAAATTATACGTTACTATTATATCTATTTATAATCATATAGATACAATACATTTAATTATATATTCAAGTTGCTATTTAAAATTAATGGTTGTATACATTATTATTTTATTTTATTTTTATTGAATATAGCTCAATTTATTTTACTATCATAATTTAGAGTAGTGTTGTATATAGATATTCAAAAACGTATGATTAAAAGGTTAGATTAAATTTATTGAGTTAGGTATTAATTAATAAAAAAATTACTTAATTTACTAATGCATTTTAATTTTAACAGTTATAATTTAGATAATATAATTTTTAATATAAACTTTAAATACGAATAGGTAATTAATATATTAATTTTTAGTTGGTAGTATAGCCTTAGTTTAAATAAATAGGTATTACCTAATAGTTACAGATTTTTAAAAATGTACTAAAATAATGCTTTTCTAGACTTTTAATTAGCTATATTAGTTATTACAAATATAAAGTGCAAATAAATTCAAAAGTTGTTTCTGTCGTCAGTACAAATAATATCAACGCCTATATATGTTAATGTCATATTATTAATTCCCAGTCAAGTTATTGGTGACAAAATGTACCATATTACCACTAAATTCAACGTCATAAACTATATTGTCGGATAAATATTATACCTATTTTTTTCATGTAATATCTCGTCAGTCCAGCTGTCACTGTTGTATTGAATAATGATAATTATCATCGCGATTCTTATTCTTAAATCCAACAAACTCTTTGTTTCAAAATCTATTAACGTTTTCGAAAATGTTTCTTTAACATAATTTTCAGTTGAACGGAGTAAAATGGTATGAAGATACTCGGTAAATGTTGGTCTACTATTCCATTCACCTAAACTTTAAATACCAATAATTCATAAACTTCTCGTCTAAATTTCAATTCTCATTTATTGAAATATTAAAAAAAATATAAAATATTTTACTTCAGAATGTGAAATTAAAAATGTATAATGTCATTCAAAAAAGTAAAAATCTTAAAATATAACTATTTTTAAATGTTGTTCAAATTTGATTAAAAATTATGTAAAAAAAAAATTTTTAAAAATTAAATAGATTTTGAAATTATAAATTTTGTTCAATAAAAAAAAAATCATTTAGTATATAAGTCATAGCATTAGCAAAATGTTTTTTGATGGAGCTCAAATCACTTCTTCTACAGAGATAAAGTTCTTATAATATTATATGTCTTTCATTAAATATAATAAACTACTAAAACTAAAATTAATAGAAGGTAGCTAATATACTTTTATGGTGTAATTATATTATTATATTACATTAACCAAAATCTTATAAAAAAATATCAGTTTTTAAGCTCAATAAGAAATTACTTAAAAATTAAAAATTAAAAAAATTCACTAGCTGTTTCAAATTTTAAACGTTTATAAAAATGTGTTAATAACTGTTTTTTTTATTATAGTTTAAATATGAAGAAAGATATCCCTCACTGTTAATGGTTATAAACCGGTCGATAAATTTTATACAGTATAGCTTATTTGTATGTTATTTGTATATTCTAAACCATTGGTAATAAAAATTATAAATTAATATTTTACGCATATATATTATATACATAAATTTAACAACAAAAAGGATAAACTTTCACTATTTTACAATTTTTAAATAGTTGTTGTATAGAATTTAATAGAACTGGATTTTTAAATAATTTTAAGGGACTCTTGTTAAAAAAAATTATTTTTTATCACTCTGGTGCTAAAAGTTTAATTTTTAACACCGGTAGGCGATAGAAGGGTTAGAAAACTATCTTTTTCTATTCAATAGACAGCTAATACTTTTTCTACCTTACGGAGAAGTAAAAAATTTCCATTAAACAGTGTTCGCAAAGTTTCTGCCCAAATCAGATTAATATACATCATGAACGAATATTAATATGTTTTATTTAATAATTTTAATGTATAAAATAGTAAAAATACTAACTAGTAGGTATAGTTACTTCTGCGTTGGTTTTCGCCAGTTTGTCCAATTTAGATATCTTGATCGGCAAGAATATAGTTTGCTGTAGATTATCGTAATATCGATAGAGTTTTCAGTCAGAACAATTGACACTAATTCAACAAAATAATCACGAATTCACCACAGGCTTATTAGATTTTTAACCTCCTATTAAGCTACTTTTAAAATAATTTTGAACGACTTTATATTCATACTTATATTATATAGATATTAATTAGTTTTGTATATCTCGTGGTGCTGATTAGTGTTAAAATAAGTAGTAGCAGTCTAAATAAAAATATTGATTGATAAAAAAATTCTGAACAAATAATAAACGACATACTTATTAATTGCATTATAAACGCCTGTATAAACGTAATTCTACTATAACTATTTATACGTGTTTGTTGTTTAGCCATTTGGGTTGATCATCTTTCTCTAACTGCCGTAGTCAAAGCATATTAAGTATAACAATATTATTGTATACTATTATGACGTGGTAAGCGGTAACATAAATTAATCGAACTATATTATGGTAATAGTGTACTGTTATCATTTATCAATTATCATTATAACCGGTTATTTACTATTTGGGTTAGATTTTAATATTTGTATGCACTATGCACAGACCTTAAGATCTATATATGATTGTAGTATGTACCTTATGTAAAGCCGTGTCGTAGTTTGTACTTTAAAAAAACTAATAAGTCATCATATTTTTCGAATTTTTTTTGATTTTGTTAAAGTTTTTGTTTCAAATACTCAATAAATGTTTCGAAACTGAAAAGTATGAAAGCTCATTGATATTTGAAACAATTAGAATTATCTTAGCAAGCAGCATTATTAATTATAAATTGTGTTACATGCTATAAAAATTCTGATTGGCGATTACACTTTTGTTGATCTACTGTATTATACAACGTAATATTATAATAATGATAATTTAGATAATTTATACTATAAGAGTCTACCTAAGAATCTATTTGAAATATATTTATTTTTTTAATCAATAATATGAGGTACCATAATATTATAGACTCAATAAAGACAATTTCCAAAAATTCCAAAAATTATTATAGTTGTAGTGAACAATATTATGTTAAACAAATAAAAAACGCAACTGTCGTGTGTACAAATCACTTAACTCCAGAAATAAAATTGCATTTAATTACTGAACAATGCAAACTGTGGCATTCGCCTGTTAATGAGTGTCAGTTTATCGATCCATTCTGGGCATTTTATTGGCCTGGTGGCCAAGCTATTTCAAGGTGAAACAAATAATGAAGAATTGTATTCATATCTTTAACCCGATATTTCTTTATTTGATCTTAGGTTTATTCTAGATAACAGCAAGTATGTAAATAACAAAACTGTTTTGGATATTGGTAGTGGTAGTGCAGCATGCAGCCTTGCATCAGCTTTAGCGGGTGCCAAACAAGTTACAGCTAATGACATAGATCCTGGTATAGTCATTATTTTAATTTAATTTATTCTCATACAATTTATTTATTGGTTTTGAACAGTTGCATGTGTAGCAGCTAAACTAAATGCTCAGTTAAACAATATCAGCATTGATGTATTGTCTAAAAATATTTTGTTCAATGATTGTTCACAATGGGAAGTTATCATTGTTGGAGATATGTTTTATTCACAAGATATAGCTGATGTACTGTGGAAATGGATGGAAACACTGTGTACTCGAGGAAAGACTATACTGATTGGTGATCCGGGTAGACATTGTTTTAAACCTAAATGTCATTTACAGGAGCGATTAAAAAAACTTAAAGAATACAAATTAACAGAAAATTGTTGTTTGGAAAATCGAGGATTTTCAACTGCATCTGTTTGGATTTTAGAATAAAATTATTAGGCATATTAAAAAAATAAATACTAAATTATTTTACATAGATAATTATTGATCAAAATTTGTCCAAATATATTAAAATTATACAATTATACAATAAAATTATTTTAATGTTATTAAATAGTTATTTTTAATCAAGGAGCTGATAGCTATTTAATTTTTCTGCACTATAAAATCCAGCTTTTACTTGTCTACCACCAAAAAATCTACCATTTAGATCTACAACAGCTGTAAAAATTAATTAACAATTAATTATTAAAAAATAAAAATATATTTATTTACAAAGATATTACCTTTGATTGCTGATTCAATACGTTTAAATTCCACAAATATTCTTACAGCTTCTTCATGATCAACATTTGGAACTTCATATATAACTACTTTGTTGACATCCCCATATTTGGTGTTGCATTCATCCTTTACTTCGGGTTCAAGATCTTGATCAACCTCACCAGGTCCAACCATATTTCGTAATAGTACTACCTGTTTTTATTTGATAGTTTAAATCAAATTTAAAAATAGTTATAAAAAAACTATGTAATATTACCTTAGATTGTTCTTTCATTATTTCTGTGATACTTTGTAAAGGTTTGGGTGGTGGTGGAGCAGGCGCAACAAAATCATCTTGTATTATAGAAGACATAGGAGGAGGTGAAACATTACCACCTGGTTTCTCATGAATAATCCTACCACCTCTTTTACTTGTTTTTTCTACTTGTAAAGCCACTGAAATACCTTGTTCTTTCTTACCCAATCCTTGTCCCTCCTAAACAATAATTAAAAAATGTATAAATGTGTTACTTTATAATATAATTTATATTATAACAACTTAAACTAATAATGTACAAGATAACTAAAACAAAAAAAAAAAAAAATTAATAAATAAAATGCTAGATTTATATCATAATTATGATTGGTTAGAATAAAGCTAGACATTTAAAAATTATTTATTAAAAAAGAAAAATGTTAGAAGTTTTTATAATGCTGTGCCATATCAATAATTACCAAAAACAATAATTTTCCATACATCATAAGTTGTTTTTTTATTTTACCATTCTAAAGATTTAAAAAGTTAAAATACATTATTTTTGGTATCTATATAAAAAAAATTATTTTTGTTGATACTTTATATAAAAAATTTTGTACACCACCTTACGATAATCTCACCAACTACCATTGATAAATATTCACTTAAGATATTAAAAAAAATACTTTGAATTATATGTATGTTTAATAATTATTTTTGATTTAATTGATTTCATAACTTAGTACTGTATTTAATTTATAACTATTGATCGGTATAGTATACATAATTTTTAATTCAAAAAAGGGGGTTACTAAAAAATGGTAAAAACTAATTCAAGTGTAATTGTAGGTATCTGATGTTGAGTTTTATTTCTTAATAAATACATTTAATTACCTTAAAACCATATTTGGCCATTATTTTAGCAGCAACACCCATACCCATGCCAATTCCAGAAGACTGTTGTGGTCCAGGTGATGATACAAATGATTCTTGCAATGATGGTGGTGGAGCAATTGCAGCACCAGGAATTCTACTGATAGGTTTTGGTTCATCTTCTTCACTATCACTTTCTTTACGTCCACCAAAACCAGCAAATCCTGTTTTACGTCTTTCATCTGTATTGGGTGTAAAACCAGCTGGCAAATCCATCATATTGTAGCCACTATATCAAAGATAAATTAGAGTTCATACTAATTTACTCTATAGATAGTTATATAACATACGGATCTCTATTTTTATTTCGCTCTTCCCTTCGTTTACGTCTCTCATCGTCTTCTTTTTCTTTTTCTTTATCTCGCATGTCTCTTAGATCTAAATATTAATATATTTAAAATGTATATCATTTATTAATATCTTAGAATAATTCTTTGAATTATGCTTACCTCTAACTACTCTTTCATAATCATTAGGAATCATAGGGTCATATTCATTGCCATCAAAACTCCAATCCATAGGTGGAAATGATGGACGCTGTGGTTTTTTTCCTTCCTATTGTTGATTTTACATTGATGTATAAATTATAATATGATTATATTTATTGATAAATAATATTTATATTACTCGAGCCAATGGAAAAATTGTAAAGCCAAGTCCTGGATCAAACATGGATTCATCGTCATCTTTTTTCTTCAAGTCAATTACTGGTGCTAAAACTGATGTAGATTTACGAGTAGCTTCTCTTCTCGGCTAAAAACAAAATATAATTATTTTAAAAATAAAAATATCTCTGTCTTTAACTAAAGAACTTAAAATATTATATCGATTGAAAAAAATAAAATGCTTTAAGAAATAATACACTATAATTGTTTTAAGTTTAAGCTAATAAAAAATTAAATAATTATAATGCCTCTTAGACATTATAGAAATAGTAAAAATTTGAATAAAGCTATTCACAAACTTGAGTTTGAGCTGCTTTTTTCAACTGCATTTGTGACTGAAAGAGCTTCATGCCAGAAGACCAGCCATCAGATTTTTGCTTAACAACATCGAAATCATCGTACAAAGACATTATTAACTTAACCTAAGTTAGCTAATTTTTAACAAAAAAATACGTGTTCAATTTAGACTTGAGAACAATTGTTCACAAAAAAAAAATACAAAAGTAAACACTAAATAAACAATAATTATATTGTAAAATGTAATAAATAATTCATTTATTATTTGATAATACTGTAAATACTTGTAATCACAAATACTGGAGCATGATAAAACAATTTGTTTATTTTATCAGGTACAGAAAAGATAATACTATCTTTAATTGTGACAGCAAAACAGCTACAAAAAAAAAAAAAAAAATATAATGCTATATTTTTGTTGTGATTAATTTATGATAAGAAAGTACATTAGATACCATCGTATTTATTTATTTTTTGTTATTTCACTCCTTCTACAATAATTATAGTAAATATTTTGAATTTTGTTTCATATGAATAATTATTAATTAATACAAATTACAATATATTAAAGCTGTAGATACCAGATACCTAAAAATGTTAGAAAATTAACAGTTTATAAATCTACCAAGATAGAAAGTTAATTTTTTTAAACTTTTTTTTGTAACTATAGTAATTTAGTTAAAATCAACATAATAACTTAATACTCCTTAAAGTATCCATCATAAATACTACTTTTTTTTTAGTTTTATTGAAAAAAATCAATAATTTCACATTTTATTATTTCTTAAAATTTTGTTTTGGATAAAAAGTTTTTTTTTTTTATAAAATCTACTTTTTATATTCATTGGCATTCTCTTATAGTCTTCTACTCTTATCACACAAAATTTCAATCTTTAAACTTTTTTAAACTCTCAATGCAAAACATAAAAGCATAAAACAATTTATTTGTGAGTTTGTGACTTATTTCTTTCACTCTTAAAGATTGTATAATAATCCCCTATCTCCCTTTAAAAAGTATTTATAATATTCAACTCATACACCTATCCCTTCCTAAATGTCCGTTCATCTCATCACTAGTAATGAGCAAACCAAGACCAAGACCAAGACTATGGCAGTGATTTTGTTCCTATAAACTCAATTATGGTCTATGTCTTGCAGAAACATTTTAAGTCTTGCTCCAAGATTATTGCATTATTTATTATTTTAAGAAAAAAATTATATCCCTATTTAGGTTAGGAATTTGCAGAATTTGTTAATTATTTATTATCCCTAAGATTTAACTATACAGCTAATACAATGTAATAATATCCCAAGTCCCAAGTAGGTACCAACTATAATTAAATCCTGTTATTAGTATTGTATTCAATAGAGAGATGTAGGTATTTACTGCACTATATAAATAAATATTGTTGTTCATAAAATATCCCATATCGCCCGTATCGGTGATTAATATTATTATTATAATGTTTTTGTGCTCCATTAACATTTGTATCGTATTCGGCAGTTTAAAATAATTCCATTGACATTACCTATGTTTCAGTAATTTATTGCTATAACTTGTTAGATAACCACTTTATAGTGAATATAATATGCAATTATATCTTATCTTGTTTTCAAAAATTTAATAAATATTAAATTGTTAATAATTATTTCCCAAACATTTTTATTATATTTTTAATAAATTATTTCTTTTAACCTACATTAAAGGTGTTTTTCTGAAAATTTTTTTTTTTAAATTACAATACTAGTCGCGATTTGCACCTTGCCTGTTGCACACGTATATCGTACGCTCCTCTTAATTGTTGTGATCCCGTTATCTTTTCGTATTCAAATGCGATAAGTTTACTACGTAAAAATTCAAAATCGTCAACCTTATAATAATACATACTTATAAAAGTGCAAGTGCGCTCAACGCACGTCCTTTTCAAAATGTAAAAAAAAATTGTGTGCGTTAAAACCAACCAATTATCGCTTATACAATAACAATATTCATCGCGTATCGCTGCAACGTGCGCGACGACCTTTATCTCAAGATAATATGCCACGACTTCCCAATATATCATTAAAACAGAAAAATAAAAATAATAATAATACTCAATTTACACATTAAAATACAACTATATAATGATCTTGTAGACGTTATCAAAAACATGGATGACGATTTGAATAATTGGACTGAAATCAAATCATCATCAAAGGACGGAAAAATAATTTATTCTAGCTCTTCTGAACAAAACTCTCCGCGAACATCAGTGAATAAAAATAAAAATTTTTTTTTCTGCAAATCGTTACGAAGTATTTATCACAAAGTGATCATGAGACTATGCTCTCAATGATTGTTACAACTAATACTAATATTAAAAAACCTATAGGTATCCCTAAACGTTGAGGTTGAACCTAAGATCGCTCTACTCCCACCAATATTCTTAAGACTACTACACGTTACTTTTACTGATCTGTGCACAAAACTCATTAAGATAATCGGTGTCGACAATTTTCACTGCAAAGCTCTGGCATACCGCCTCAAAATCATGACAACCAATCCAGATTCATACAGAACTCTGGTCCGCTTCTTAAGAGAAGAAAAAGCTGAATTTCATACCTACTAGCTCAAAGAAAACAAACAAACTCGAGTTATCATTCGTAATCTTCACTCAACTACTCCACTGGAGTTAATCAAATCCGAGTTCGAACAACGTCTTTTTGAAGTCAAGCAGATCTCAGCCGTCCTACACAAAGTAAATAAAAATCCACTACCTCTATTCTTTGTGGATCTCGAACCAACCAGCCAATCCAACGATATCTTCCAACTCACATCACTTCTCCACACAAATATTAAGATGGAGGAACCTTATAAGCCTAAAACTATTAGTCAATGCACTAATTGCTAAGTATATGGACACATCAAATCATACTGTGGCTATCCAGCTCGCTGCATTCGCTGCGGTGGTCATTATTTATCAGTAGACTGTCCGAACACCCGTGATGCCCCACCCAAGTGCGCTTTCTGCTCTGGCGATCACCCATCAAATTACAAAGGATGCTCCATCTATAAGGATCTACAACGAAGAAAAAATCCAAAATCAAGTAACCACTTATCTAATAATTTTAGCTCTAAAAATATTTATGTACAAGATACATACATAGTGAAAGTCTCCTCAACGAACCCTTTAGAGTCGATTCCTACCTACACCCAAGCTACTTTCAATTCTCATTCCAATCATACGGTACCTTCACCTGTTCCAGACATAAACAAAATAATGTCAACCTTCATGGATGAGTTTAAACAATTAATTAATCCTTTAATCGCCCTACTAACCAAAGTAATTTCAAAACTTCTAGATTCAAAATAATGTCTTCTACCAGCAACTCACTTATGATTCTCAAATTTAATGCTAACTTAACCTAACTTAGCTAACAATTTTCACGCCACATTCTGATATACAAATTCCTCAACACACAGCTTTAGTTAATAGATTTCTCGATAGCCCACTTCCACCTACTCTTCCATCGAAATATTTTACTCCCAATGATGTTAAAAATGCAATTCAAAACTATAGCCTTAAGAAATCCCCTGGTTATGATCTAATCACAGCGGAAGTAGCCAAATGCCTCCCAAAAAGAGCAATTGTCCTGTTAACGGTTTTGATAAATGCCTCTCTAAGATTAGCTTACTTTCCACAACTTTGGAAATTTTCAACAATAATTATATTTCCAAAACCCAAAAAATCACCTGATATTCTCTCTTCATATCAACCTAAAAGTCTTTTGCCTTTTTTTGCAAAAAATTTTGAAAGGCTTATTCTTAAAAGAATTCTCCCATACATTTCTTCAAGTAACATACTTCCGAATACTCAATTTGGCTTTCGTGCCTCTCATTCCACAACTCATAAACTACATAGATTAGTTGATACCATTTCGTTCTCATTTGAAAAGAAAAAATACTGCTTGTGCGTGTTTCTTGATGTCTCACAAACCTTCGATAGGGTTTGGTATAAAGGGCTGCTATATAAACTAAAAGCTTTTCTTCCCCCAACATATTTTTTACTCATCAAATTTTACCTTGCGGATCGTCACTTTCAAGTCAAGTTTGGTTCTTCATTTTCAAATATTGAAAAAATTGGTGCAGGAGTCCCTCAAGGTGGCATTTTTCACCAATACTTTTTAATGTATATGCAGCAGACCAACCTACCTCTCCAACATTTGTAGCTGAATTTACGGATGACAAGGCAATAATATCAGTACACGAAAACCCACACATTGTTTTTCTAAATCTTCAAAACCACCTTGACCTAATGTCTGTCTGGTATGAAAAATGACGAGTTCAAGTCAACCAATCAAAATTCATTCACACTACGTTCACTTTTCGTTTCCCTCCCTGCCCAGAAGTCTTCCTTAGTAACATACCAATCCTTTCATCCCATTCGGTTAAGTACTTAGGCCTAACCTTTGATCGTCGTCTCACTTGGGGACTTCATATCAAAACAAAAAAACTCGCCCTAAACGAACGACTTTGCTCAATGAAAACACTAATATCTAATAAGCATACTAAACTAAACACCAAATTTCTCATACCTAAATCATTAATCAAGCCCATGTGGACTTATGGCCTACAGCTATGGAGTAATGCAAAAAAAAACTAATGTAAATAAAATCCAAATCGTTCAAAATAAAATCTTAAGATTAATCACTAACGCCCCTCCATATATCTCCAACTACACTCTGCACACAGATTTAAATATTAAAACAGTTCACGATGAAGCAATAACATATTACAAAAGATTTCATAACAGATTTCCATATCATCCTAATCTCCTTATATCCAATTTAGCTTCTCGCACAATTCTAGGCAATCCCACATGACGACTGAAAAGAAAATGGTGTCGAGATTTACTAAATGAATAAATTAAAATTATATTAAATTAAAAAAATAAAAATTTATTAATAAACAAATAGGTAGTGCTTTCACTGGATGGCTTCTTCCCTCACATTTTCATGTTAATAAATATTATATCACATATTCTTATTGTGCCCAAGGGTACAGATTGTATATTTCTTGTTAAAAATAAAAAATAAAATAAAAATTACAATACAATTTTCTAGACTGCAAGACTTGTAGTGTGGATCTTGTTTTGGTCTTGGTCTTGATCTTGCAGCAAAACTAAGACCAAGACAGTTTGCTTATAGTGATAAGCACTATAAGTACCAATCAAAATTTTCTTCAATTCTGATATTCCTTATATCTCTCATTCACACATTTCCAAGATTCCTTCATCTACAAATTAGATACGTACAAGGAAACATCAAGAATTCTGAATTCTTAAAAGTTAAACTTTATTTATTATTTTATTATTTCTCATCGCAATCTTTACATGTTTTTCCCATCTCGTTTATCATCTCACACAGTCCAATTCTTTAGTAGGTACTCTTACTTAAGTATTCAATCTTATAATAATCCTCCTCAAGTTCTTTCACTTTCTTTACTATCCACTTATAGATTTCGACACACAAAAACAATTCATATTTCTTCTTTTCAATATCTCAACTTATTCCTACTTTTACTTGTTCCTATACCTACATACCACGTTATAAGTAGGTACTTATATTCTTACTTTTTATCTATCGCCACAATTCGTTGTGATTTTAAACTGAGTGGCTAGAGTGTTATATACGTTTTTCCTACAACATATTTTACTTAACGATCTTTGGGTAAACTTGTTACTCAAAGAATATTACCTACGTGCAACAGTTAGGACTTTTAAACCGAACTCAATGTCCTGAGACCTATTGCACTGTTTCCTCGATCATCCACTGTTCAACAAATGTTACAGTTACCTATTAGTTCATAAAGTTCATTACCTCTCATCTGTTATCACTAAGAATATGAGACAATGTGACAAACAGCTTAATATACACTATACAGTTAAACATATTTTTTTTTATAGTTATTACTTATTAGTTATTACCTAATTAGTTTCGGATCTCATGCATTTTTTGACCTAGTTTTCGTCGATTGTCGATCTGATATAAGTAACCTTATTTTAGTTAACTTTTATGACAGACATAGTAGGAACATTTTGATTCCATCTTACTGTATTATTTGTATTACAATTTATACATCATTTAACTTATTAAAAAAAAGAGCAATATTAGTATATTATGAAAATCTATTTAAAAAGCAAAAATAAAATCGTAAAAAAGAGTCCTAACAACTTGATATTTAATTTTTATTTACTTGCATTTCTATATATAATAAAATAATTTATTAAACATAACTTATTATTGCGTTATTGTTATCAAACAGAAAACTTAATTTTGTACAAATTATTATTTATGTTGATATTTTTTAATGATTTATAGAACAATTATTTATTTATTACATTAATGGGTGTCAGGTATTTGAGTGATGGGAAAAAGCCCTTTAATAGACCGTGAAACATAGTTATATTAAACTTAGTAAGTTCTAACTTCTTAATCTTACACTCATTAAGTACTTTTATTTGAAAATAATCTTGCTGGGTGTTAAATTTAATACAGTCATAGAACCAACATGTTTTTGTTGCAACGAAAGAAAAGCTACAAGATGTCAGTGGTGTATTTAATCAGAAATTTGCTTTGGGGAGGATAACTTTTAGAATACAAATTGTTTATTACTATTTGTCACTATAAAATAATTAAAATTTTAAGATATAATAAAATATAGGTTAGAGTAGCCGGTTAGTAGTAGTGGTTACAAGACAAAATTCAATTTCTTGAGCCTTTTGGAGATATCATTGTCTACTGGGTTTAATTTTGATATCTCTATGTACTGCGAACATTATTAATTCGTTTAATTGATCTTATTATAGTGTTTATAATCATCGATTTTATTGACTAAAATCATAAAGCAATAATTGAGAATTAATATAAAAAAGCAATTTACTTTAATTAACCGATTTATGTTTAAATTATTATTTTTCATTATAATTATATTGCTAAAAATTGTATAAAAAAAGTCTCTATCCCCTTCAAGGTCACATCTGAAATATTATAATTTGTTGTATTAATAATTCATTGAACAGCATTTACTACATTTTTAGCATTATCTGTAATAACAGTCGTCAATTTATCTTTAATTTCCCAAACAGCCAATACATTTTCTAATCTTTCTATAATGTTTAAAGCTGTATGTCGTTCTTCCGGCTGCATCTGAGTTGAGTCCCGAATTTAAAATTGCTACACTAGTAGTTGGTTCCCGGATTTTTATAGGTACTACACTAGTTTGGTCCTGAATTATTTTAGGTACAACACTAGTTCTTGAATATTTTTTGATAAGTACACAGCACTATACTAATATTTGTCTTTCCATTTTAACAGACTTAGAACTGTCTATGATCTATTTAGATCACAGGTATGGTTAAAAATGTTTATTTTGAAAATATTAAAAATGTTAAAAACCAAGTATCAAAATACATATAATATAAATTAGCCATATAGGTGTAAGTGAAAAAATATTAGAAATATAAATTATTAAAATTTTGTAAAAAATAAATCGTCTTTGTGTTGGTAAAAACCTAACCAGCCCCTAGTACTCGGACCCAACTCGGATGCACCGGTTCTTCCATTTCTTGGGTTGTTAAAGTAAATGACAACGGAGACCAATCGTTATCTAAAGCATGTGCAGTTATAGTTATATAAGAATTTTAAGCCAATGAAGACCAACAATCCGATGTGCACACAAGACTATTTGGACATCTTTTAAATTGTTTCGAATTTTTTCTTCAACAGTTGATTTTAAAATATGCAATCTTTTTTTTTAATGCTTCTTCTTTGATAATTTTATAATTTGGTTCTATGACGGCCATAAATTGACGGAATTCAGGCATAGGCGAAAATTGATATATATATTGACTATAGAAGTCAATAAGTTATACATTTATTTTTATTATTTTATAATTTTTTTATTTTTAAAATTACCCTAGGTGACATAGGCCATTAGGATATATGTTTTGTATACTTTTACATTGAGAACTTATTTCTTATTTTTATTATTAATATTACTATTATTATTTTCTATACGTTTACTGTAATAGTGTAATATATTATATAAAAATTGCAACTATTATATTTTATTCATATTGTTCTGGTTTTATAAATATTATAATATAAAATATTTTATAATTTTATTAAATATACATGCTTTGATTAATAAATTAGGAGACCCCTTGTTAAATTCTAAATTTTTATTTAAAAGGCGTTTTTGCCTTATCAATTATCAGGTTTATCATGGACCGTGACTCCGGCAAGCAGCACACCGCGTTTCGTTTGATCAAGAAATCGTGGTACGTAGCAACCGAGCTCGGTGGTAGTGTGGTACTATTGGTAACCATCGGTGACCAGCTGCCGTCGGCATGGTCGTGTCTCCCTCCTACCATGGCACCGCCGCACGACCATACTTTAAGTAGCGAACTACCGAACCATTCTGTCCGATACCCCCTCGTCTTTGTCACCGTCTTCATCCTCATCATCATCGTCGTCAAAAATGGCGATAGCATATCTCGCTCGTTGAACCGTTTGTGTGCACGACGTTTAGTGGTGTGTTTGTGTGCTTAGTGTGTGCAGTTTTTTTCATTAGAGTCGTTTTTTCCGGCTCTTTTGTCCCTGCGTGCACCGTCTCGACGATATTTGTGTTTGTCGCCTCAAATTCCATAACAAAACGGCCAGACGTTCGTCGGACGGTTCGCGTTGATGTGCGCCGGCAGACATTCTCTGCCTCGCATCGCATCCAATGTCGTCGTTACAATTCATCGTCCATCCAGCCCCTGGAACGGATGATCAGCTCAATGACAGGTCGGCACATATATTTATTCAATCGTTTTCGTCATTCTACATATTGTCGTTTGTCGTCTTTGTTAATTGCCGACGGAATGCGTTCCGCCTCCCCCCGACAGTGTGTCCGTCGGTCGTGAATGTCGTACATATTTAAACTTTTTTCTGCGTTTTACGTCTGTCGGACAACGCGCTTAGGTTTTTTCGTTGGGTGTGGTGATGGCTGTGATGCCAATGGTGGTTCACTAGACAGTGTTCTTTTATTGATTTTGTGAAAAACTGATTTTCCTTTGATTTTGACGCCCATGCTGTACTTAACACAATGGTCATATATTAGATAGGTTTAACCCGGTCAGTTCATTTTGGCACTTTGCGACTTACAATTTTATAAAAGCATTAGTCTGAGAACTATACTTTTTATAATATAATGTAGTTTTTGAATACTGTTTTTTGAAAATAGTTATGGTAGCTGAGTGCCAAGATGAATTGAAATGTATACCTACATTGTAATATGGTTTCAGTATCCATTTCATTTCTATTGTTGATTTAATCAATTGATCTTTTATCATCGTTATTTAGACGATTGTATGTTTTACAATCAAATTTTATGTCCCTGAATCATGCATTATGTTAATAACATTTGCCTACTTATTAATTACAGGTAAAACTATTTAACAAACGCTATTTTACATTCTTGTTGTAGTACACTTAAAATGTGCATTGTCATTTGATTGGATAGTATCTAATGATTTCCATTTCAAAAATTATGATTAGATAGATACCTAATATTAACTAGGAATTTTATTATAATAAAATAAGTACTTAGTTACCTATTTTATTTTGCATATTATTTGTTCATTTTTGTGTTTATGCATGAATTGTACTGTCTAGTGATATTAAAAATCCAGAATTTTGAGTATATGAATCTCAAATTTTCTAAAGGTGTAAAATTTACGTCAAACTATTATTATTAGTTATTATATTTTAAGTTTTACCGACTTATATAAAACACAATCTAAAACCTATAAATTAAATAACAAGTATTTAAACTTTTAATAAGTAAGCATCAAGATTAAAATATTTAGATTATTCACATAATTTGGATTTTATCCATAGATTTTTTTAGGTTCGTATATCCGGATTATTTGAATGATATTGTAATCTAGATATTAGTGACATCACTAGTACATGCGTTTAGCTATCAAATGGGATATATTCATGTAATGTATTTCATTTGGTCATTTATGTGAGATAATTACATTTAGTGTGGTTAATATCTGGTAAATAAGTATATTTAAAATATCTGTAGGTAGAATTTTAATAAAAATTGAATATAATATTTTGGTGGTTATGAATATGCACATAATATACAGACTGAATGTACATATTATGTATTATTTTAGTGGTATTACCCAAAATTAGTGCTGACTATACTCTATTAACTTGATATTTTTTTTGATGATATTGTTTCTGCACAATTGATAATTAAATAAGACAGTATATATTTTGTTTTAAAAACTGTACTTTTATAGTTTTTAACATAAATTATTTTAATTTTGCTTATATTGCAATTTTATTTTTAAGTTTATTCTTTTTTTTTATTTGTTAAATATGTATTTTAGCTTATCAATATAATTAAGTTAATTAATTATTAGTTGATAAACTTAAATTAATTGCATATGTATAGTTAATAAAAAAAATTAATGTTAAGTATCACTTGGGAAGATACTTATGGTTGACATTTGTATTCCTTTCAATTTAATATTTAATTTCTTTGATTAGTTTATTTAGTATGTAATCAATATTGTTTAAAAACTCGTTAAATAGTTAAATTTATTCGTATTTAAATTTAATAAATTGATGTTAGATTTTTCTTTTTAACTAAATATGTTGCGGGATATGTTAATATTATAATAATCAAGAAAATGATTATTTATAACATTTATTTTCTACCTTCACTCCCTTATTAGAATCAAATACTACTCATAATAAGTATTTTCCTATCATGCTCCTGTTTTGAGTACCTATGTGCTGCTTAAGTTCATAGGTAATCACTAAAACTTTTGTCATGAGAGGTTCCTTTTGTGTTGGTGTTTAATAATTAATAATGATTGGTATTTAGATAATAAGTCTAGTTTAAGTAAATTTTAAAAATTTCTGCTGTTAAAAATAAAAACACTTATGAATACTCATGTTAATTTAAGTGCTTTTACTTTTATTAACAAATTTTCAAATTAATAAAGTAATCTAAAGTATATTTTATAGTTTTTATTAGATTTAAAAAATTATAACTAACATTGTTGGTCAGGTTTATATTATATGTTTTACTATGATTTAAAATTTTAATTATGTCCTTATTTATCAATTATAAAATAATATTACCCAAATATTATTAAATAGTAGGTTATCTATATCACATTTTAGTAAAATATATAAATGTATTTATATCTAATCAGAATTTGTTTTATTTGTTTTTAGATTTAAAGAAGTTTCCGAACGTTTAAATAGAAGTATTTTAGGAAATACATCATCTTATCCTGTATTATCAAGTATCAAATCTCCAATCAAACAAATTGTAGTTGGACCATATCATATTGGCTTATTATTTGAAGATGGACGAGTGGCTCGAATTCCATTTACAGTACTTGCAGAAAGATTGGACTTGTCCAGATCTACTGGAGATGCAAATAAGTTGCCTTCTAAATCCAGCAGTGGAAATAGTGGTGGTGGAGGTGGTGGGGGTGGTGGAAATTTAACTTCTGCTACTCGTCACCTCACTCGACGAGCTCGTATAATGAGATCAGGATCATTCCGTGGAACTTCAAGGTAAAATGTTCAACATTTTTAATATTATGTAGAATACAGTAAATAATTATAGTACTTTGTTTAGGTCATCTGGTAGTGGTGTGATAATGAGTAGTGGTTCGTCAAGTGGACGTCCAGTTATGCCAGCTCAATTTGTACCAGAAGAGCTTGTAGCTCAAGCACAAGTTGTGTTGCAAGGTAAAAGTCGAAATTTAATAATACGTGAGCTTCAGCGAACAAATTTGGACGTGAATTTGGCTGTCAACAATCTTCTATCACGCGATGATGAAGAAGGTGATGGAGAAATTGAGGAAGTTAATGGACCTGGTGGCGACTCTTATGTCCCCGAAGATTTGATGTCTTTATTGGATAGTGGAGGATTTCATTCAGATCATTCTGTTATTATTGATGCTGATGCAATTTTTTCAGAAGATATGTTTTCATATTCTTCATCTAGAAGGTAAATGTGATTTATTGTATTGCATTTTATTTAGCTTTATAAGTATCTACATGGATTTTAGACCCATGTTGACATTTCGTAGGAATGGTGCTAGAAGATTAGGTGAACGTGATCGTGTAAGCAATAGTGCAAATGACAGTACATCCAGTGATCGTAATTCAGGACCTAGTGATCGAGATAGTTTCACTAGATGGAGAGATCGCCATTGTTATGGACAACAACAACATCGACAAAGACAACAACAGTGGCTTGAAGGAGCACTACGTGATTCAGCATGGGATAAAGATACAGGTAGATGATAATAATGGAAATATAAGTTTAATGATCTATTTATGCTTTGAATTGTATCATTTATAGACTCTAAAAAGAAGGATTCTAACGTTGGACCTTATGAATTTTCTGCAGACTCTAAAAAAAAGGATAGTAACACTGGTAATCCTTTGTGGTTGTCGAATGATGCAGAATATTGGCCAGAACCAAATGTAAAATTTATTCAAATTGCTGCAATCCACTCAGAATTAATTGCCCTGTCTGCTGGAGGACAACTTTATCAATGGAAATGGGAAGATGCTGATCCATACAAGACTTTAGATGTAAGTAAAATTTATGACCTTACAAATATATGATTGATATTTTTATTTATATAACATATTTTTCAGAACAATGTACACCATCCAAAGACTAATGCTCTTGGTTTAACTAATGAAAAAGTAGTTCTTCTTTCTGGTACCATTATACGAGTTTCCGTAGTAACTGAATCTAATAAAGTAGCTACATGGATGGATGAAAGTCTTACTCATGCTGCTACTGCTTCTAAACTTGAACATCCAGCTCAGCTTTATTCTGAATTTGTTGTTGATCATATAATTTCTATCCATACTTGCCCACTGTATACTCTAGCACGTTTGGAAAGTGGAGCACTTTATTGGTGGTATGTATTAATTTTACTATTAATTCTATAGGTTATTTGATTTAATTTATAATATAATTTTATCAATCAAACAGGGGAGTATTACCGTTTAATCAAAGACGTAAAATATGGGATAAATATCGTACTAAAGCCAGAAAACAAAAAACAAACAATTTAAATTCTGATATTATTGTTGGAAGTCAAGTTTGTATGAAAAATAGTCCACTTTATCAGCCAGGAGCTATTGGTAAGTATACAATTTTTGATTTTAAGAATATTATCATATTATTAATTTTATTATTTATTTATAGGCATAACTTTGTATGGCGGTGAACCTAAAATAGGTCAATTATTAAATTCTGCCTGGACATATGCTGATGTTTGCAGATTTCAAATTTTGACACCACCTCAGATATTTCAGTCTCAAAACATTAATAGTAGTTCCTCTAAATCATGCTCACCTATTGAAAAAAGTAAAGAGACTGCTGATCGAATTGACATGCCACCTCCTCCTTCTCCAGCATCAAGTACTTGCAGTGAAACAGGAAGCACTGTTCAAAGTTCAAGTAAGTTAATTTACCTTTTCACTGTTGTGTACTATAAATACAAACACCTGCCTTGTGATGGTGATTTTATATATATATATATGTTTGTATAATATTATTTACTAACTAAAGGCAGATTTGCACACATAGAATAAAAGTAAATTAAATACCATGAAGTGTCTTGGAAAATAAATGGTTTATTAAAAATTTCAAGTTAACGTGTAATAATTTTCAGAGAGAACCAAAAGAGTAACAATGAAAGGTCTTGAAGATGATAAAAATATTGAAGAGGATTGGCCATTAAAAGATGTCGTATTTGTTGAAGATCAAAAGAGTTTGCCTATTGGTAATTTCTTTAGCAAAAATAAATTATTCTTATTAGTTATTATACATTTGTATTTTTATAGGCCGCGTTGTTCATGTGGATGGTGCATATGCTGCAGTTAAATTTCCTTGTGTTTCAAAAGATATTGTAACTGGAATATTTCCTAAAGATAAAGATCCAAATACGTCTACAAGTGATGATGTAGTAACAAACATCATAAAGGTGTTAGACCAAAATGAAGTTAGATTAATGAAAAAAGATGACCTTCAGGTGAATATAAAAAAAAAAAATTGATTTCTGTATTTTTATTTTTAATATTTGTATAATTTATTTGTTTATAGGTTTGTAAAGTGGCTGTTGCAAGTAAAGTACCAGATTGTTTTCAGAGAACACCTAGAAGAATAAATATACCAACTGATAACGGAAATCAAATCCTGACTTTAACTATTGATGGTCAAGGTATATTAATTTATTGACATTTTTTTTTTTTTTTCATTTAAAACTATTTTATTTGAAGGTGTACATGCTATCGTTAAAAATGGTTCAAAAATCAGTTACATTAAATTTAATGTAACTAGTGGAAAAATAGAGCAAGATAGTCCTTTTCCAGTTGATGCTAGTGCTTTAATTGGACTAAATCCTGATAATATGCAAATTATTTGTACTGCTGAAGTAATTTTATATTTAATATCTTATTTTATTACTTAATAGTAAATTGTGTAATTGTAATTTTTTATATTTTCATTATAGAGTAAAGATAATATATGTATTTTACGTGATGGTAATCGGACTATTTATCCACTGGCTAAAGACAGCACTGATTCAATGAGAGAGCCACAGTGGTTAGATTTGGGACCTGTACGTTGTATGGGTATTGGTTCATATACAGTTACTTCTCCTCATGTAAAAGCAGTTGCTGCCATCATAGTATTGGATGTAGAACAACAAATACTCATGTCTCGAATATTAAAACCCAACCTTGAGTCAGTTAAAATGTTGATACACCAGCTATCACTTGATATTGGTATTAATTATTTACATTTATATTTTTTATCATCTAAATATATTTAATAAAGGCGTTTTTTTGTAAATTTTTTTTTAGATAATAGTCTCTTATCACAAATTTTAGCAGAGCGATGCGATGGTAATCGTAATCTTTTACATGCTTGTGTTTCAGTCTGTGCTCCTATTTCAAATAAAGATCTAGAAGGTATTAAAAATATATTATTTTTAATTAATAGTAAGTATTTATTTAATATATATGTGTTTATTTTATTATGTTTCTAGAAGGAGATAATCTATCCAATCAACCAAATCCTAATGTAGACACTTTGAATGTAATTCAAAAGGCATTTGGGGTACGATCAACATTTAGTTTACGAGAAATGATGAGACGAGCTTCAGCTGCTGTTAGATCAAGTAAGTTAATGTTTGGGATAGTTTATTAAGTTTTCTTATGTTACTATGTGAGGAAATATTAAAACAGTTACTTATAATAAATACATGTATTCATTTAATAATCATTAGGTAGTACCACTAATAATTCATCTGACTCTGAGCAAATGGAAATGAATGATGAAGCACCACCACCAGGTACTGTTCCTGAACCATGGCAAGAACCAGTTAATGCAACTACCCAGTCAAACCCAGTTTTACAAAATGAAGAAGAAACAATTCAACCAACACCACCAATTAATCCAAACACTGAAAGAAGAAACAATGCCTTAGCAATTTTACGACTACTGTGTGAATCAACTGTATTTTCACCTCATCTATTGGATTTGTTGACTGCTAAGTATGTTAATATTGCATGTCTTTAAAATTTAAATATAAATACTTTTATTTTTACATATAATTTTTTTTTTTATTAAACTTTGTTCAGTAATAAGTACTTGTAATTTGAAGTTTTTTTATTTAACAAATTGGTTTTATAAAATAAAACTATAAATTAAAACTTGTGAGTTTTTTTAAAAACAATTTTAAAACTTTTTTATTTAATTTGTTTAGAGATGCTCAAGGATTAACTCCATTTATGTTGGCGGTGACTGTTAGAGCATATCCTGCTGCTATTATTTTACTTGATACTATCCATCGTGTAGTGTCCAAAGTAGTACTACCTCCTAATATATTTGAAATGCAAGGTACTTCAGCTACCGAACAAGAGCATGCAATTAAAAATGTGATGAGTGCTTGGAGATCTTCTGTTGCTGGAACAGGATCTAATTCTACTAGTAGTAACAAAGTACCTCCAGAAATAACTCCTCAACCAGTACCTATGTTTAAGAATTCACCTGTTAGCAACTTTGAGTTACCACCCTATTGGTCATTATCATCTGGATTGGCACAACCACCACCTCCTCCACCACCACCGCCTCCACCATCACAACAACAGTCAAATGATTTTTCTAAAGGTAAGTTTCATCTTAGAATATTTTTTTTACTATTAGACTGAACATTTTCCTAATTGTATCAAAATATTTTATTGACTGAAATACATTTTTTTATCATAGGATATTTTCCTCTTCCACCACCTCCACCACCATTATCAATTTACAAGACACATATTTGGTATACTGAGAGATCATTTCAACGTGAAAGTGATAGTGAGAAAATTCTTAAAGCGAAGGAAGTTTTAGCTTCTATGGTTTATCCTCCTGGTTCAAATCCAGATTACAGTCCATTGCATGTTATTTGTTGCAATGACACTTGCAGTTTTACCTGGACTGGAGCTGAACATATTAATCAGGTAATTATATTATTTTGTACGAACTATTTTTTAAAGTGTAATCCTGATCACATCTTTTTATATTATAATATTAAATAACAATTAGCTAATGCATCTATTCATTTCTCTTTTATTATTACTGTTGATATCTTTAAGTATATTATTTTTTTATTTGTCCAAAATTAAATAAAAGAAGTTATCTGCCTTGAAATATATATAATGAGCCAAATAGATTTAAAGGTTTAGTACAAATTGGTGCTACTATTTCTGTGCATAGTTATTTTGGTGCAAGTAATATTAGTGTATGATTATTTTTGAAAAATCTCACCCTTTTGCATGATATTTCTAATAATAATTTTGAGTGTATGTCGAGATAAAATTATTTCAAATAAATTATTAATGATTTAAAAAAAAAAAATTGTTGTCATGTTTTCTAAAAATAACAAATTCATATTGAATAACAAGAATAAATTTTAATTTATTAAATCATTATATTACTAGACAAATAGATATTTTGTGTAGTAATAAGTAGCTATTCTTAATTAAATCTTAAGTTTTGATAAATAGTAACTAATGATGATGTAAATTGTTAGGTAATCGTAATTTAAAGTACACTTAAAATATTATTGAAATTAATTATTTATATGATAATTTTGTACCAGGATATATTTGAATGTCGTACATGTGGCTTAACTGGATCATTATGCTGCTGTACAGAGTGTGCTCGGGTTTGTCATCGAGGCCATGACTGTAAATTAAAAAGAACATCACCTACTGCGTATTGTGATTGTTGGGAAAAATGTCGCTGTAAAGCTTTAGTACAAGGTCATCAAGCATCTAGATTACAACTACTAAACAGATTAATTAATGAAACTGATTTAGTAACCCATTATAATTCAAGGTATCATATTAACATTTTATAAAATTACGATTACATTTATCTAAAACTTTTTAATTTTTCAGAGGAGAAAGTATATTATTATTTTTGGTACAAACAGTTGGCCGACAATCAAATGAACAACGTCAATATAGTAGATCATCCAGACAACGAGCTGCTTCTCGTAAAACACCATCTTCTGATATTGGTAATAATTAAATTAAATTGTTGTGTTAAGAAAGAAATGTTTTTAATGTTTTTATTATTATAGAATTAGATATGCCAGATCATGATTTAGAACCACCACGATTTAGCCGTAAAGCATTAGAAAGATTACTAAATGATTGGCCTGCGGTAAAAGCTATGATAATGTCAGGAGTAAAAAATGATTCTGAATCTAAATTAACTACTGACCAACCATATTTAAAAAACCAATCTGGTACTACATTCCTGGATAAATTTATGCATTGTTTACTTTTTAAATGTAATGCTGAAGTAATTACTAACTCATTTTTAGTAAGTTAATATAATTAATTTATTATTTTAAAAAGTTAATATACTAAAAATGTTTTGATATCCCTAGATGGTTGATGCTTTAGTGACAACAATTGTTAAAGAGCTGCATAATCCGTTAAGCAATGTAGCTGAAGTTAACTCGATAGCACGTCGTTTTATTAGATCTGTAATACGTGTATTTGTTGTTTATAGTGTTGAATTAGCTCCTCAAAATAATAAGCGACGAATGTGAGTATATAGTAATTAATGAGCATAATCATTTTTTATTTAAAATTTTTATGTTTGTTCAAATTAGGCTTGGAAATTTATCTTCTCCATTTGCTCGAGCTAGACGTATTTTCCAATCACTAATGAAATTATCAATCGAAGAATTATGCGAAACAGCTGAAAGTTTAATTGCGCCCGTTCGTCTTGGTGTCGCAAGACCTACTGCTCCATTTACTTTGTCTACTAATACTAATCCAGACATCCAAGTATGTATTATCACAGTATAATATATCTAAGACGAATAAATAGTAATAATAACATTTATTTTAGAGTTATGAAGAAATATTTTTTGTAGAGCCAATGGCTCCAAATAATATGAATTTGTCCGATCAAATAGAAGGTGCTAATGTTCACAGGCAATCTCAAAATGATCAACCTCCAATTGATATAGAATTAGAAGATGAAATGGCAGATAGTAATTTTTTTTATTGATTAAATTTTGATTTTAAATAGTATGCAATTTACCAGTTTTTAACAGATTCAAGTATTTTAAACATAATTTTATATATCTTAAAGTTTCTTAAAATATCTATATAGATAAATAATTATATGTATATAGATTACTGGTAACTGGCTGTTATTGTTGTTAAAATAATAAATTTAATTTTAATTATTAGCTTTAACATACTCAGTGTTTCCTAATTATTTTTCAGATAATGATGGTGAAGGTAGTGATCCAGAAGATGTTATGGGAAGTGTGCTTGAAAGTCATGTTCGTTTAGGGCCAAGTAGTATTTCTGATTCTAATCAACAAGGTCCAGTTGACCCAGAATCTGATACAGAAGATATGTTAGTTGAAACAGATTCAGATTCTGATCAAAGTAATCAAGATGGTGGTGGTCAAAGAAGTGTCCAGACAGGAGCTACTGCTGGATCAGACACTGACGATGAATCAGGAGAGTCAACTCAACAAGAAGATGGTGAAGAATCTGAAGCTGGAGAAACTGATGAATTAGATGCTGAAGAATTTCTTGTGTCTGAAGATCAATTAGAAAGAAGAACGTATGTTTTAATTTTCATAATAATATAATTTTAACATTAATTTTTATTTATATTTTACAGTACAACTTCTGGACAAGGACATAGAACAAATTTAGCACCTCAATCTATGCAATGGGCAATTAGAAATCGCGATACTGCCACACGAACAGCAACAGGTAAATAATTATATTATTCATAAATTGAGTAATGACAAGTATAATATGCTAACTAATTATTTAATTATTATAATAAATTTAAATACTTCTATTTTAACTTGCATAGTATGATATAATTAATTTCATTTATTCTAAAATATTATGGTCGATTTTCTTTTTTTAAATTAAGTTTTTTCAATGTTTTAATGATGTGTATTTAGTATTCATCTCAATAATATTCTGAATAAAATATAATTGGATGTATTGAACATTTAAATTGTATTCTTCGTAATTTGATGCTTAGATAAGAAAATTATACTCATTTTGTAACATTATCTGTATATAAACATCAGTAATGTAGTTTCTGATCTGTGCTAAACTACCATTTGACTATCCATGTATCTACAACTCTTAATCTTCATTTTTTTTATTTTTATTTTTTTACTTAATAGTATAAATATTTTTACTAAAGATTTTTATAGCTCTACTAAATCCATTGCTTGCCCACCTATTTTGTTCTTGAAGCAATTATCTTAAAAATTCTAATTTAAACATAGTTAATAAGTTGAAAAACTTTTATAAATTGAAATATTTTAGCAAGTATTGCGTAGATTTTCAGTTATTGTATATTTCTATACATTAAAATTATTAATAAATAATGCATTTTAATATTTTGCTCATTATTTCAAATATTTTTATTTAAGTGTCATTTAATAAGGATATTTATATTTAATAGGGTTTAGAGTTGCTTCTGGAAATTCGTTAGTATTCATAGATCCTACATCATTGAGGCGATCTGCTGTAGCTGCAGTTAGTAATAGTACAAATAGTTCTGGTAATGGAAGCAATAATGCAGCAGCAGCCGCTGCAGCAGCTGTTGCTTCTGCAGCAGCTGGTCTTAATGATTCAATCACAATGGCTACTACTGCTTCAAGTTTAGCTAGAGCATTTGCAGTAGTCATACGACAAATTGCCGATTTATTGGTTACATCTTTAAATGACCCACCATCATTACCAATACCAGTGCGTATATCAGTACAAGATACTTGTAGTTTACAGGTAATATTTAAAAAATATTGCTTTTATTTTTTCTTATTATTCAAGTATACATTTTATTTAGATAATAATTGAAAAGTCACTTAAACCTACCTGGGATTGGTTAATGGCAATTATGGATTCTACTGAAGCTCAACTTAGGTTTGGTGCTTCACTTACTCAATCATCTGATCCACAACATCCAAGACATCCTTTACATTCAACGACTACAGCTAATACTACAAATACAATACCAAGTACATCATCTGGAATAGGTAATGTTTAAAAAATTTAAGTATGGTATAATATGTGTCTCTTAATTTATCTATTTTTATTTTTTAGGTTCAACTAGTAATAATAATAGTCAGGCAGTTGAACCTCGACGTGAATTTATATCATACTGTTTATCTCTAATGCGTGCTCACAGTAATGAGCATGGAGATTCTTTACCAGTTTTGGATGTTTCTTCTTTAAAACACGTTGCTTATGTTTTGGATGCATTAGTGTATTACATGAGGGCTGATACAGCTGCTGTTAACTGTCAATCAATAAATACACCTGTTATTTTATCAGATTCATTAGAAACTGAACCTTGGGTTATAGATCAGCAGGTAAGATTTACAGCTTGTATTTATCAGTATAATATATATTAAGATGTTTTATAATTAAATATAAAATATTCTTAAAGATATAAAAAATTAATAACTTTTTGTTATATCAATGAATGTTAACATGCCATATGTTCACCAATTTAGGGAACATTAAATTTCTCGGTCAGATTAAATTGGAATAAATTGAATTTTTTTTACATGCTAGTGGTATATAAATACACATTTGTAAATAAACTTCAAAGTTTTTATCATTTCGGTATGTGCATGTGCAATAAAAATATTTATTTTTTTTTTTGAATAGTAACACCATATTTGGATAGGTCTAATTTTTTTAAGTAATTTTAATGTATCAACTATGGTTCTAAATTAAAAATTGCTTGAACAAAAGCCATTTTCTTTTTAATAAATAAATAAATTTTTACGATTCATTCAAGTATACAAAATTATTTATAATTATTTAATATTGGTTAATTTTTTAATGTTTTTACATATTTTTTTTAAACGTGTTATAGATAAGATTTTCATAATATGGGTATACATATACATTTTTTTATTGAATATTATTTAAAACGGTTGTTTTTTAATTATATAATTTAATAAATAAATTGCTCAAAGTTTCCTCTGTTATTTTCTACGCTTAATTGAAATCGTTGTAGACATTCTCTATTTATTAAAAAAAATTAGGCCTTTCCAAATATGGTGTTCAAAATAGGTGTTGCTATTCAAAAAAATAATATTTTTATTGTGTATGCGGATACCGAAATGATAAAAATTTTAAAATTAATGTACAAATATGTATTTATATACCACCAGCTTGTATAAAAGAATTTGATCTATTCCAATTTAATCAGGTCGAGAAATTTAATGTTCCCCAATTTGGCGAACTCGTGGTATATAGTTATTCCATCTTAACTAATTATCCCCTGATTAATCCATGATGAATTCTTTGTTATCATTTTTTATTCTTAACATTCTTACAATTAAACATAAGTTTTTGAGTTTTTTTTTTTTATAGTTTACTCAAATGTTACTGCAACTTGATATTTCTTCTTCTTGTTAGTTCTTATCAACTAAGTTTTAACTATTTATATTTTTATTTTTTAGGATGAAAATGATAATGAAGAAAATGATGAAGAAATTAATACTACTGTACCATCAATCAGTCAAGCATCTAGTCCAAGATTTTTAGACATGGATTCTGGAACTAGAGGTCGACGTCATGCATTTTTCCAACGATCAGATTCTACTTTATGTTTAGGATGTCCTCCACCAGATCCTTTTGAAACACCTATGACTCAAGCTATGCCGTTAGCTGATCAACCACACTTGCTGCAACCAAATGCACGTAAAGAGGATATGTTTGGCTCTCCAAAACTTTCAGGTATGTAATTATTTTTAATTTAGTAATGAATAATAAGTCATAAGTTATATTGGTGAAGAAAAAATATTTATTATTGAAATACATGATCCATTTTGTAGCACCTTTAGATGGATCATTGGATGGTCTGCCATCAAGGCTTAGTTTATCCAGTCGTAACGATAATGGAAGTGAACAGTTACCCAAAGAACATGAAAGAAAAAGTTGGTAGAATAGAGTAGAGTTTGAATTTATTGTGTAACGCAGAATTCAGTTATTTTTGATAAATGTATTGACAGAATTTGTGTGTCTTTTAATATTATTTATCGTTGCATTTAAAATATTGCATATATAATTTATTAAAAAGGTATCATAATATTAATTTATTTTGACTAAAGTATATCTTTTTGTATATTAATATTTTGTTAGTTTATCCTTTTGTATAAATTGGAACGTTAATCTATTAAGTAGTATAATATGTAATGGCTAAAACTTAAAAAATATTTTGTTATTTATTACTAATTAATGTTTAAATAATTAGATTATACAGTTAAAAATAATATTTAGTTATGTTTTTAATGTTAAATTTAAAAAAAACGTTGAAAATGAATTAAAATTGAAAATATTTAACTGAAATTTAATTATCAATGATAGTTGTTTCTGCGGTTACATATTGTGTAATTAATTTAATAATTTAATAATTAGAAATAATAGTATTTTTAAAATAATATAATTTTATGGAATGCATGTTTACATGTAGAAAAGAAAAAACTAAAACAATTGTGTTAATAAGTATTAACATGGTGATGTCTGCTGACATATTCATATTTTTTTGAGTGTTGAAGCTACAAATTTCATTCTATCTAAATCTAAAAGAATTAAATAATTATCTTTTTGTATTACTACTAATGAGAAATAATACTTTTTATATATTTTTTTCACCATGTATCATATGCATTTAATATGTTTTTTTTTTTGGCAGCAGATTAAAACATTTTAACGCAAAATTCTTTGTGTCAAAAACTTGTACATCTAGACATGCTTTCATCTTGTTATAATCAACTAATTTAAAACATTGTTGTCAAATTATATAATGTATTTATATATTTATTAAATCATCTTTTAAATTATACATCCGTTAAAGTAAATAATTTAGCTATAACTGTTTTAGATATGTTTATTGTAATTTTTAATTACATAACATAATTAATATTTTTTTACTTTAGTTCATTGTAGATAATTTTTTTTATTTATGTATAGCAAGATGATTGCTTGAGTGCCTATTCCCTTGATTGACTTAGAGTTATTGATATGTATAATTTAAATTTTAGGACAAGATACTGAACCAGAAGATCTTTCTATTCGTGCTAATGTGACTGAAAAATTTAATGAAATGTCAGAGTTCTTTGGCCTTGGTGATGAATCAGACACTTCACAACCAATCCCTGAATGTAAGTATAATACAAAATAATCATTTAAAATTCTAATAATTAATACTAATTACAGCTGAAATGACCAAAAGAGATCGAGACTTAATAATTGTACCAACAAGTACTTTCTCTGATACTACATCTCCTATGCTTAAAAGTGTAATTGTCAGAGCTCCTTCTGGTGGAACTCCATCTACTTCTGTAAGTTCTTATATAATATATATTGATTAACTAAAACTTCATAAAATGCATATAATCCATATTATTTGTACTAAATTCATAATTTCTAAAGATCTTAAACTGTGATTTTATATAAAAGTTTTTACTTTACTTACATGTTTAATCAAAATATTGATTTTTTTTTGTTTTAATATGCATTTTGTGGATAGGTAGATTTTTTTTTCTCATAATTGAGAATTTAATAATAATCTTTAATATTATAATTATAATTTAAATAATATGTCTAGCACTGTTATATACAGTAGGGTCTCGTCAATCCGAACGAGAATGGGAAAGGGATCTTTCGGATTACTTATGACTTAAAAAAAAATCAATTCATAAAATTTGTTGTTGGAAAACACAATGAATACGATCAAAATCAACAAAATCATTATAATTATGTATAAATAATCAGTTAATAAGTACATGTATTGTATATTACTATGAATTATGATACACGAGTGTATTAGTATTGCGATGCAGCAATTTCCAAACCTGTTCGGATTACTGTGTTTGTCGGATTAGTCTGTGTTCTGATTACCGTGACCCTACTGTATTATTATTATAGTATATGTCCATGATAGTATTTAATGAAACAATATTCTTAAAATTAAATTGAACTCCTAAATAAAATTACTAATTCATATATTTATTTAATGCTATTTCATGTATGCCTATTAATTATTAACTTTATTCTTAAATATTAATTTTTGGATGTACTTTCATGTTTATGATATCTTAATTGAAAGATAAATTTAAAATTTTTATACCTTATCTGTTATTTGATTTAGTTAAAGAAATAGAAATGTTTCAAATATGTTTTATTCATTTTTTTGTTTATTTAATTGTAGTCAAGTTCAGCACAAGTAAAACCAAATCCTGATGTGGACGATAGCCACAATTCATATTCAAACAATGATATTGTTAAACCAATGAATAAGTATGTCAAAAAATTTTTTTTCTAGTACATCATGAACATTGACATTAATTTCTGTTTTCATTTTAAGGGGAAGTCGTTTAGGAGAAAGTGTATCCCATGACTTATTGTTAGGTCGCTGGCGTTTAACATTGGACCTTTTTGGTCGTGTGTTTATGGAAGATGTAGGTTTGGAACCTGGATCTGTTGTATCTGAACTTGGGGGTTTCCCTGTAAAAGAAGCAAAGTTCCGTAGAGATATGGAAAAATTGAGAAATCAGCAAAATCGAGATTTAACATTATCCAAAGTATGTATCTTAGTCAATATTTTTTACAATGTTTTTTTTACAAAACTATTTGGTATTTTAATTAAGTATATTGTGTTATTAACCTAAATTAAATTAAATTTATTCAAATAGCTGGAGCGTGATCGTAATCAATTGATTCTTATGACCTTCAAAGAATTAAATAATCAGTATAATTCTTATCACCGTAGAACATCTCTTAGTTATCCCTGTTTAGCGGTTAATAGAGTAAAAGTAACATTTAAGGATGAACCTGGTGAAGGATCGGGTGTTGCTAGATCATTCTATACTGCTTTAGCTGAGGTAAATATAAATATATTTATTTTTATTTTTAAGACAAAATATGTTAATGATTTGTATTTTTGTTCAGGCACTTTTATCGAGTGAAAAATTGCCAAACCTTGAATCAGTTCAAGTTGGTGGTAGATATTCACAATACACTGTTCTTCAACGTTTAAGAAATCGTGAGCGCAATGAATCTCCCCGAATAAGACATCCTGGTCCACTATCACCACGAGTGCCATCAAGACGGTCTGAGCGTAGTGACCGTGAACAACGCCGTACTCTCTCTGTTGAAGCACGTTCATTTGTTCCTAATTCTGGATCATCTGATGCTAATCCTAATTCTCATCTAACTCCTCACCAGCAACAACTTGGTGAACGTCTGTATCCAAAGGTACTTTTTTCTAATTAAAAATAATTTTTGATTTTAAAAGTGTAAAATATAATATTACAATATATTTTATAGGTTGTTCAAATTAGACCAAGTTTAGCCAGCAAAATTACAGGAATGCTTTTAGAGTTATCACCTGCTCAACTACTAACATTATTAGCATCTGAAGAAGCTTTAAGAATGCGTGTAAATGAAGCTATTTCATTGCTTATGCAAACTGTTGAAATGTCATCACTTGTTGATGTGGCTCATCCATTACCACCTGCTGATAGTCTTCTTGGTATTATTAGTTTTTGATTTATAAATTAACGTACACAACAATTTATAAATTATTTTGTTACAGAAGACGTTGATTTGTTCTTAAGTCTTTCTGAACAACATGGTTCTAAACCTGCTCCACCAGCTAAAGAAAATATTGCAGAAGAAAATGTAATAGAAGAAAACTTGGATGATAATACACCATTATTTTATTGTCCTGGTAAACAAGGTTTTTACTCACCACGTCAAGGAAAAGCTTCTTATGAACGTTTGAATGCTTTTAGGAATACTGGAAGGTAATCTTTATTCTTAAATTATATTTATAAACAAGTTATGTTTGTTTATTATAAATTGTTTTGATGATAATTAATATGTGTTTTTAGATTGATTGGATTATGTCTTTTACAAAATGAATTATGCCCTATGTATTTTAATCGCCATGTTCTCAAAGTGATTCTTGGTAGATCTATAAGATTCCATGATTTAGCATTTTTTGATCCAGTTATGTATGAAAGTCTCAGACAACTTGTGTTAGATGCTGAATCAAAAGATAAAGAATCATTATTTTCAACTTTAGATTTGAACTTTAGGTATAATATATTTTTAATCTAATAAAAGTTTTGGAAATATTTATGTTTTTTAATATTTTATTAGCATTGACCTGAGCCAAGAAGAAGGCGGTGGAAGTGTAGAATTGATCAGTTGTGGTGTTGATATTGAAGTGACGCCCAACAATGTTTATGATTATGTAAGAAAATATGCTGAGTTTAGAATGTTTAAAACTCAACAAAAAGCCTTCTTTGTAAGTTAAAGATAACAAATCAAATGATAGATAGTCACAATATTGATATTTACATTTTTCCTAGGCATTGAGATCTGGAGTATTTGATGTAATTCCTGAGAGTTCATTAGACGGTTTAACTGCTGAAGATTTGAGATTACTGTTAAATGGAGTTGGTGATATTAATGTACCTTTGCTAATCTCTTACACAAGTTTCAATGACGAGTCTGGTCTTGCCACTAGTGATCGCCAAATAAAGTTTAAGCGTTGGTTATGGTCTATTGTTGATAAGATGACTCCATCTGAAAGACAGGACTTGGTAATTTTTACTAGGAATTTTATTTAAAATACAATTTTTTTTATTAATATATGTATTACATATTTTTAGGTATATTTCTGGACTGGATCACCAGCTTTACCTGCATCAGAAGAAGGATTCCAGCCAATGCCTAGTGTTACCATGCGTCCTGCTGATGATTCACACTTGCCAACTGCCAACACATGTATATCTAGATTGTATATACCACTTTATAGCAGTCGTACTATACTTAGGCATAAACTATTGATTGCCATAAAAACTAAGCATTTTGGATTTGTTTAAATTTGTGGTTTGTTATTTTAAATATATGTCAGAGAAAACCTACTAAAACAAAATAATAATAATAATGTTTTTGACAAGTTTAAAAATCCTGTTTTATTTATTTTTATTTTTATTTCCAGTTCCAAACTTGTTTATTTTCGTAATCATAATTTTCTATTTTGTCTTTATATATATATTTGTACTTAAAAATATGTATCTGTGACTTTAAAACAAAAAAAAAAATTATATATTATTAAGTGATATAAACCACAATAAAATTATTATATTTCTCATTTTAGCTATAAAATAATTGTGCAGTAACTACTCATGTGATGTATTGAATTATCTATAATTTTTATATTTTTCTATAATAACTTATAAAAAAATATGAAGAAATTATTATGTAATACCATGATTTTGTTATTGTTAGTGCTTTATATAAATATAAACTTAATGCTTAAAATCATGTATTTTAATGGGAAACTATTGTTTTTTTATTGAAATTCCTTATAATTTTCCTCCTTCAACAATTTAACGACAACAAAAAAGTTTGTTTGGATTAATAAATAAATGGATAATGTTATGTGTCATATACATATTAACCATTAGTTTGTAAATGTTAAGTATTTCGTTCGACAGCGATAGAACAACGTTAGTGTGTACATTTTTTGAGATCGACCCCATCCACAAATAATATAATATGGTCTTGGAGCACAAAATGGCTCGTGTTTGTGCGCGTTAGTGCTCACTCCAGAGCTGCCTACCTACTTACCAATTGCAAGGAGTTAATAAAAAATAATATTAAACACTAGATATTGTTATTCAGCCCGGGAAATAGACGAACAGTTATCAAACACGAGTAATGTGACTTAAAGCGCGCGTTTATCGGTTTTAGTGTGCAAGTATTTTACGGCGTACTGGTAAATCGGCAACCGGGACAATCGCCTTTGTAATTTGATTTTAAGGGGTGCGTCGCCCCCGTACTTTAATTATATAAAATGCAAAAATAGTATTTTGCTTTTGTATTAAAAAATTATGTATTTGATTATCGTAGTATTATATTTATAGGTACCTAATGAGTTTCCTTGCAGAAATGTTCATCAAAACGACTAATTATTGTCTAAATACGGCTAGAGATAAAATACCATTACGATTATCGATTATGACTACCTATATGAGTATATGCAGTCAACTCTTGATAATTCGAAGTTGGCGGGACTTTTGAAAAATTTTGAATTAAGCTTCTCAAGAGTTAAGAAATTTTTTAGATTTTTTTATTATTGTACATATATAATAAATATTTCAGAAAATTAGGTGGTATTACCGTTACCTTTATTGTTTTTAAAATTTAAATTAAACTATGTATCTAATTTTATACTATGCAAATTAATTATTAACAGTCGATTAAAAAATAAAGTTCTTACGATAATAATTCTATAGAGATATCGAAAATAATAAGCCAAATCTCTATACGATTGTATAGTAAATTATCAACGAATTTATAATAAGAAATACATTTGATGAATAAACTTCGAATTACCAAACATTGAACGGATGAAACTTCGAATAATTCCGTGTTAGTGGCCAGTTTTTCTAAAATTTAATTTCGAATTAACGAGTGTACTTAAATGAGTTAAATGAATGGTTTTTTTGGAATTACGATTGCCGCGAGATTTTCAAGAATTACCGAAAGTTTCGAATTATTGAAGGTTTAAATTATTGTGAGTCGACTGTAAGTATAATTATATATATTATAAAGGTACTTACATAACTCAGGCATAGATTCAGAGCAAAGATCTGGGGGGGAGGGGGTGCAAATTTTTTTATATAAGTACATACTTTATTCATAATTTAAAATTTTTGTCATAATAGTAAGTAATCAATGTAATTAATAAATTAATGATTATTTAATATAATATAATATTTATAAATTAAATAATAAAATCTAAACGTTCATTGACATTTTCGCTTTTTCCGATATATATATATATATATATATATACATTATACATAATATATATCCACTTCGTATAATATATCATGTTATTAGACGCATATGTGATTTGAAATATAGTAATATCAGAAACTGTAGAATTATAAAAAAAATTGAGAAATAATACGTCTTGATGGAGGGGGGACGCCCTAGTCCCCTTCCCTGGATCCGTCCCTGATATAACTAGTAATTATCAAGGTATTGATGATGGTTTTGTCAAATTTTCTGTTATTGCGCCACCAATCTATCTGGAAACGACTGTACCTTCTTAATCACTTTATTGGAGAGAAATGGAATAATATCCTTGTACAGTTGTACAGTAGTTAGTTTAAGTTTTATACGTATTTGCTCCCGTACTAAATTCTAAAAGTCGGCGCCTTTGCTCGTCTATTTCTACTTTTCTAGAGCTTGTGACTAATTTGTTTGTCGGAAAAACACCGAAGCACTGATATATTTCGGGCCAGGTTGACAGGCAATTTAAAACACTAGTCTTACATCTCAACTGCAAATGTGCAATAGCCAATAATAGCCATACCTATAGTGTTTTGGTACTTTGTAAAGACTGAACGCATTTAACCGGGTGTCTGGTTGACGTATACTAAAGATCGATTTTTTAATGTAGGTACCCCTATTACTCAAATGTTTAAGACGAATTTATTAGATCAGAAAGATAAAATTAATGTATCACATTAAGTTTTCTACGTGTTAGGTACCTAGGTAGTAGGTGCTATATGTTTAAAGTTCTATTTTTTTCTAGTTTCAGAATATAACGCTATTAGTTATCGGCAGATACCACTCAAGTTAAGCGAAGTATGATTGATGAATTAGAGAAAGTTGGTCTAGTTTTCGATTAGTTAAAACTAAGTTAGGTAGGTACTTTAAAATAAAAATATAAAAACTAACTAATTTAGAATAGAAGTTAGATGTTAGTTTTTTTTTAATTGAGAGCAAATGACAATTTAATCAAAAACTGTCAGTGTCCATAAATTGAGTTTTATAAATATTAAGTCATCTTTAATAACCTTAGTTATTAGTTATTAAAGGAATGTAACCAAATACACATTAGAATTATTGTTATTATCTAGCTAATAAATATCATCAATGATAAACCATACATAATATACACTCTGACGCGGTGTGTAAAGGGTATTTGACCTAGTTGGCTTAACCTCATTTACAAAAATAATATAAGTGGCTAAACAGGCATAAGCGGCATTAAAAATTGCCAATGCCAATTTAAGAATAATTAAACTAAGCGATTCGTTCTAAGTCATTGACATTTAGGTGGTTGGATCAGGCGTGGAAGAGTATTTTTCGGGTCGGGATAACCCTGGAAAAAAGAGTAACAAAGAGTCCTTAAGGAATAGTTTCCAAAGTGGTAACTACAGGTCCCACTGATCCAGCCATTCTAGACGAGTAAGAACTTCTTTAAAAGCTAGAGTACATTTTTGGTCTCGATCACGAATTAATAATCCTTACTGAAATTTTATTATAGCGACTCGAGTTAAGAGAAAACATACAAAATACGTTCATTTTAATTATTGAATTCGCCGATTATTCTGATAAATGGACAACAATATTCAACTAGTTATGTCTATAGCTTACTGAATAGCTTTTAATGCCTTTATTTCTTTACTGTCAGTGGCGTATTTATAAACTTATTTAGGGGGAGGGGAGAGGTGACAGGAGTAGATCCAGAAATTTTCCCGGGGGGGGGGGGGGCAAAGACAGCAAAAAAAAAGGTCATCAGATAAAAAAAGCATATAAAGAGCAAAAAAAGGTCAAAATAATTTTAGTCAGCAATTTTAAAGACTACCTACATTCCCCTTCATGATTTTTTTCTGAGATCGTCCCTGTATTATATATATATATATATGCTTTTTGTATATTTTTTTGGGGGGTGGGGTGGAACCCCCCATAAATACATCACTGTTTACTGTTGTAAAATTGATAGAACATTTTAAAAGAGTCATCTGATTAATAATTTACAATTACTTATTTGTAAAAATAACTTTTCAATGCTACAGAATATTACTTAAACGGTATAAGTATCTAAATACCTACTAAAAAATAGTAAATATATTTATACCTAGTTGAAAGAAAACTGAAGAGAGTGAAAAGATTTCGTTAATCAACTTTGAAGAATACTGTAGTGTATATAGTGTGTTGATCTGACCGTATATTAAGTAACGTAATTAAAACTTCAAAAATAGCACTGAATTGAATTCTTCTTTTCAATGGTTTAAAACTGTTCGTATGCAATGAACATCGCGGTGGAACAGGTATAAACGTGACATAATAAAAGTATACAGTTTTCTATTTAAACATGTCTTGTATAATATAATATAATGGCAAATAAAATATTACACAATGCATTTATCGATCGTGATATAATATAATATATTATTTCATAATTAATTAATTTACAGAAAACCGATATATAGGCGCATGCCGCTCGTATTATTGTATAATATTATAATATATATTTCTTTAAATAATAAGATTAAAACTGGACCTTGACTTAAACGTGAATCTTGTTATACAATTTTTGATATTTAGGTAATGTTAATGTTTGCGTTCGTTTTCTTATTTGGACGCCTTTCTTTTGCAGTATTACATACCTATTATAAAATAATGTAAACGGCTAACATAATATTTAATATTATATGAATTGTTTTTATTATTTATATATATATATACTCGTATATGTATATTTGCTAGTATTACTACAATATGTGTTAAATATAACCATATATAATATTCAATCGTCTATATTAATATAAATATAAATAAGGATCAAGGGAATACGGTTAGATCGCTGCACATCATGTTCACCGCGATAAATACACAGTTAATTGGTATAATAAGAACAATATTATTAAGGAATTATTTTATGCTAATAATGGATAATAATTTTAACTTTTAAGCCGCTGTTAAATAACTTTTTTTTAAACAAAAAAAAACTGTACCGAGAAAAAACATTATTTTTCGAAACGCGTTAGATTCAAATTGTAAATGGGTATACCTATACCGCGGCGAAGTATAGTAATATATTCTAGTAATTAGTTAAATATGATAAACACTATAAATGATATAATATAATGTTATGTATACCGTAATATAATTAAGTTATCATTTATCACAAATCACAAAATGTTTGTAGCACTGCATACACTCAACACAATATCGTCGCGCGTTACACGTAAAAAATAGAGATATCATTTAATACATATTTTATAGAGTCGTATGTAAGTAGAATATAATTTAAAATTTAATTTTACCTACAATATATTGAGTCGGGATACGACAACGAAATGAATGACCAACAATATTATAGAAATATAGATATAAGAGGAGATATTGGTTAAGAGTGGTGGTTGGGAACGTCACATTTGGACACACACACACACGCACACACACATACATATGTATAATATTATATTAAATAATAGAATATAAATGTAATGAATATGAGACTATTTTTTTTTTTTTTTTGGATGGAGAGAGATTTCTTATTTTTTTTTATTTTTTTAATTATAATAGTCTACGACTTCGAGATTAATGTAATAATATGTAAATATTTTTTTAATTTTTCACCGCTACGCTACCCCCTTCGTTGTCTTCGATACCGGATGTCTTTACGCTCCGTTTCACCACGGCCGTATCCAAGTCAGTACTCGGCTGAACTTTTGCTGGAGTCGCGTCTCTTCTCATCTTTGTAGAAAAACTGTTGTTTTTCATCTGATGGATAGCGTTCGACTCTATAGACACACGGGAAAACAGTAAAATGTATTGTATCCGTTTGTAATAAGTAATAAATATTTAATAATATTTTAGGAATTATTGGAATATGTTTTATTATTTGTTGCTGACAATTTTTTTATTGTTATTATAAGTATACGCATATAATACAACGTTTAAAATACTATAATATAATTATTATTATTAAAACAATATTAATTTTAGAAAATTTAAAGTCCAAATATGATCTAAAAAGATCTTTTACCTGTATTTGGGTAAGCATCTAAGTATTTGCTAAAGCCTTCTTTGGCGGCAGCCATCAGTTCCGGGTGTTCGGTCAATGTATCCGAAAGGGACGTTATTAGTAAATCTAAAACGCAAATAAAATATTAATATTATTTATATATAAAAATTAAGATAGGCTGGTCATTCCCAAATAGGTTAATAAAGTAGGTATTTATAAAATTTATATTTATTTTAGGGTATCTAATTTATATTTATCTTTATAAACTGAATGTACAGTGTAAACTCTGTAAATGTTGATCGAAAACATTTAATATCTTTACTATTCAATTTTAATTTTATATTTTTGGTTAGTTGTATTGGAAAATACACATTTCCATATTCACTTGATTTTTTTACTGATGATTAGCTATTTATATTCATTAAATTACTTTTTGTTTTCTTAAACGAAATCCTACTGTAATAACTAATTCAATGAACAAAATTTAAATTGCATAGCCATGCATAAATATATTAAATGTCTTCAATTAGTGTTTACACTGCATTGTATAATATATGCATTGATTTAACAATAGCGACTCTGTGCTTTTATATTTTTACGTCCATTCATGTTATGGGCTTAGATGGCTTAGCCTTCTGAAAGACTTTTTTTGTCAGGAAATGTATTTGAAACTATTCGATTTTAAATTATATCACGCCCTATATTCTTACGCTAATATATTTAATATAATACATAAACATACATAAGTATATACTTACGAGTACCTACTGTGTAAATTTTGATTTTGACTATTAGATCTTATAATTTGTCTTACCCAATATCTTTTTTTCGAGGGCTCTGGAAATCCTTCCACGGCTTGCTTCGGTTTCCAAGAAATCTGTGAACTTTTGCAAAGATTCTTGAGCTTCCGACCCACCTAAAATGCGAACAAGGTTATTTCGTCTTATCAATAACGATAAACAACATAATGTTAGGTAAACTTATTTATTTATTTCCAAATATGAGAAGTAAACAAGACAATGGGAACCTGAGAATTGTATCCACATACTGTCTTTGCCATAACTACGAACAGATTTCAAAGGGAAAATACATTTTGCCTAAAGTTATTCTGGAATGTAAACTATTTACAAAATTACAATCTTCATGTTATGTTACACATAAGTTACAATACGTAGTGTTTATAGAGTTTGTAAATAGTTATATAGTATTCAAAATGTATTTATAATGTTTACAATAGGGAGCTATATGGGTACAATTTTGATTTTAATAATCCATAATATACTTTAATTTGCGATTTATATATAAGTAATATAAATTAAATACCTAAGCATAAAATGAGTTAGATAAGTAAATTAGATATAATTATAATATTTGTGATTGTCTTCAGCAGTTAGGTACATTTGTTTTGAATGTGAAACTAAACTGAACTAAATTTTTCTAACTTATCATCATGATGTTATAATTTTAAAAAATTCCTGTGAATTTTTATTTAAATTTTCATCTCTATGCTAAAGCTGATACAACATTTATTTTTCTTTAAACTATTATAATTAACAATATTATCCAATTAACTATGTACATTTTAAAGGAATATTAATTTTTATTACAATGGTATCGATTATCGATAAATATGACCTTATATTGCATACCCAAAGCGCCGTTTTCCAATTTTCATACGACTATATGTTTTTAATACTTTATTTAAAACTATTTTTAAGTGAAGTTATACTTACTATTATTATAATAATTTTAATTAAATTTTTTCTAAATATTGATATATACCAAAAATATTGAATGAATAAAATATTAGCCTAAACACTTATAAATTATCATTAAAAGTGATTTGCTTAACTATTTAACTTTACTTTTTGAAGGAAATAGTCTGGGGCTATTTCAATAATTTTATTACAACAATTTTGGCGTATGCAATTCAATATTTTTGGTTCATTAATATTTTAAGAGGTACAAATCTCAATCATTGATTATAGTATTATCATACAAAGCAGCAAGAAACAAAATTTGACAAAAAACTTGAACAAAAAATGTTTGTATTATTAAATATTAATTTATACAAGAAGGCAAAAATAATTGCTTCTACACAGTCATTAATAAACTTTTGTATACATTTTAAAACCCAAACTCCCTACTATATACAAAATTTTAATTAAAATATTTCAATAATAACAACATTTTTTTATTAGACTAAGACTTTTGGATTTACAATTTATCGTCCCCCTGCATATTATATAGCTATAATTACTGAAAATACTTACCAATGAAAAGTCCTTGGTTGAACATAAGCTTAGCCAGTTGATAAATTATTTCGTCCATCATTGTCTGGGCATATGTATAGTCGGATGGAGTTGTCAGCGTTTCTAAAAGTCGATTATACTGCGAATCAGACATGCGTAATTTGGTTTCCAAGATTTTTCGAATTCCTGAATAAAATATTAATAGGTATTCATAAAAAGTGAAAACAAAGTAAATTTTACAGTCAGTACGTTTTGAGTTGTAATCTTCTTCGTCTAGGTCTATGCTTTTCTTGGTATATTTATCTCTAAGTATCTGTTGCATTTCTTTTAGTTCAGTCAACGTTCCATCAATGTCATTGAAATCGGAAGATTCATAGTTCTTTTGGAATTTTATTGGATTTTCCTACAAAGTAAAGTTAAAATGTGGTTAAAAATAAATTTAGCTCCAATGGAATTTCTACAAAACATTCCAACTATCTATAAAAAATGTACTTAAAGACTGTATTTTCAAATTCTTAAGATTTTTCATGCTATAAAAGGAAAGTTCTATGAAAATATAATTTTTTTTTTTTCAAATGAGAACGTCATCTCAAAGTAAACATTATGTACTAGATAATTTATTTGAAAAGTTGACGTATAAAAATCAAAAGTCGAATGAGTAGTTTTTGAGTTATTTAACTTTGTGTAAGTATAAAGGATTATAGATCAACGGTAATGGACTTGAAAAATATATAAGCGTTATGGTGACTTGAATATTTTTATAATTAACATTAATCTATCTACATTTTTAATAATTTTAAAAAATGATCTAAGTTTAGTATATACTAAATAATTAGATTCAATTTTACATCAGTTTTATATTTTTTTAAAGACTATAAGGGCTGTTATATTTAACAAATCCATTTTGATAAGTGAAAAATTACATATTATTATTATTATTTTTTTAATTTGTTCATCGTTATTAAAAAAATATATATATATTATATCCACTAAATAATTTACAGTAAAAAAGGTAGGTTTTCAGTTGAAAAATATAAATTTTTAATGTCGTAGAGCACTTATTAAGTAGAAAATCTTAAGAATATAACAATATGATCATTATAATTATATTAAAAAAATCCTGAAAATCAGAACTCGAATAAAATTATTAAATGAATAAACGAGGGTGACTATTCTTAGTGAATTATATGTAATATAATTCTACTTTATGTCTACATCTATGACGCCTACGTTAATTCGAAAATTAATTAAAACATAGTTGATCAACCGTGCGTTGCATAATACATATAGGTATATTTCCTGTAAGCATGTACACATTTCTCTTGCTGCTTATTTATCTCCAACTGGCAAACTTTTCGATAGTTAGAAAATAATAATATTATTAATGAGCGTTGTTACTTTTGAAATATTGTTGAACGCTGTTATAATACAGTCAGTTGCGTATTGCAACACCGTCTAAATAATCGTAATGTATGCTGGACACGTGAAATCTAATAATTCATATATTGGTAGCGTTAAAACAGATATTTTGATTTTTTTTTCTATACCGGTTGTAAAACTTGTATCGTATTTACGTTGTGTGTATGTGCTGAGTAAAAACGATTGAGGTGGTTTTCAAACTAATCTGCTCTATTCGGGTAATTTCGGTGTACAAAATAAATGATGTATCGTTTAATATACAGGGATACACATTTAAAATGTATATTATATATTCTGCTCGTTTTGAGCACATGCATACAGATTACGAAGTAACCCAACCGATTTCAGCCTGTTATACATTTGTTTTATAAATCTGCACTTTTGTATTTTACATATTTTCGGTATTATTTTTTAGTACATTACATTGTATAATATACTGTACGATAATATTATACTGTAGTTAAATTATAATTATATAGTCTTTATAGACTTAATTATTATTTTAAGATTATGATGAATGCTCTGACAAAATATTTGATATTATTTTTTAGCATATCATATTTTATTATATACTATACGATAATGTTATATTATATTTAAATTATAATTATATAGTCTTTATAGACTTAATTATTGTTTCAAGATTGTAACGAATATTCCTAAAAAAAATCATGGTTTAATATCAAAAATAAATGAGGTTGTTGACTATAAAAACTTAAAGTTTTGAAGTGAATTTCACCATAGTTAAAAATGATTAAAGAAACTCCTGTTTATAATGTACACCAGGGATAAAAAGTTCACATCACTCGAAAAATTAAAATATTTTATTTTTTAAGATAAATAAAGGCCACAATGTAAATACGTTTTTATTATCGTTGACGTCTTCCAGAAAATTAAATTGTAGGTCCTTTAAAAATGTAAATTGAATACTAAATATAAAAGATACGATTAATAATAGTATAAAATAAATCCTTTAATAATCCTGCTGTAGTAAAACGCATATACTCACGATGTCTTTGTTTGATATTTCTACGGCCTGGTCGGAGTAATGGGCGTCTAGTCGGTATAACTCTCTGTCGATCTTGTCCAAGTAAGCCAACGCCGATTCTCGATCCAACTGAAACGTACGTCACAGTTAAATACGGTAGTAAAATATATTGTCGTCATTAAGTAATTAATATGTCATGTATTGATGAAATGTTATCGGCTCAAGCACTGCGGTGATGCACATCGTTATTGATCACGTTTGCTTTCGCAATTTTGTTTTGTGAGTGAATTAAGGTCTGGTTTAATAGTGATTTTGTTTTATTGTAATTACCTATTTGTTGTTGAAATAAGGTTATCAAATTAAAGTTTATTCGATTTAAGAAAAAAAAAAAATAATTTTATAGAAAAACTCCATAGATGAATATTAATATTTAATTAGAAAGATAGTTTTTTATGAAAACAAGTACTGAGACTTAAAAAATGTAAAATATTTTTTAAATGTGCCATCTTCAAATTATGCATTATTTTTTTGGGAATGATAGCCAATGGTTCCGAGCCTATTACATTTACGTTGATATTATTCAATTTATTCATAAAGTTTTTTCATTTTTTTGTTTTGTTTGAAGTCATTTGTCTATAATGTAAAAATATACACTGTATATTAATAAAAAAATATTTCATTTTTATAAAGCTGCATTTTATACACATATTCATTATTATAGCAAAAGGGAAATTTATCGGTTTTATGTTTTTGTTTCATATATTTTTTTCGCATAAACATTTTTTTTTTGGATAGAGGAATTTATTATAATATTAAGCGGTGAAAAGTATTATCCGATATGCCTTAAAAAAATGAATGAGACTTTGAGTATTTTATATGCTCTAAAGATTTTCTCTAAACATATAGACAGGTAAGTAAAAAATATCTGAAGACAATAAATAAAAAAATGTTGTGGGTTTTTCTGACTTAAAATATATTATCATCTCTTGTTTCACATTATTCAAATAATGTGCAAATTTAATCAATTTTCAAACAAAAGGGACGCCGTTACAATTTAGAATATGTTCGCCTACCGTGAAATTTAGTATATGTTTGAAGAGCTTTGGGCTCACAGTGTGCATAAAAATATATTGTTATGCAAAGATATATTTTATTTTATTCTAAAGTACTTTTTAGATAATATAAAATTAAGTTTAAACTGTAATATTTATAGTTACTGTCTGCGAACTTCAAATTTGACTACTATTTAGTTCTCTAAAAATCTTATATTGAATCATAATATTATATGCGTAGTGCGTTACAATAATTATTATTATACAGTTTGTACTGGGTTCTAGTTGTATTTCATTACCAGTTAAATTACAATCCCAATATTTTTATCGAAATTTGGCTTATCTAGATAGTAATATACGGATGGGTGCAATCTATCTAAGATTATAAGTTCCGAAAAATATGGTCTTTTAAATATTTTCTGCAAATCTACCCCTTAAATTAATATTTCCATTAATTATTGAAAATTGGTCAAGATTTTTAAAGGTTTAAGTAATAATTTCTGAATCAATAGTTATGGTTCCTGAAATTTGTTTTACTTTTTTATATTATTCTGATTTGTATTATTCTAGTTTATGAAAATACCATTCTTAAATCATAAAGTCTGTGAAAATTTTCCATACAAAAAACGATTCTGAATATTGTTTTTCCTCTTTAATAATTTCCTGATTTATACAGTTCCCGAAAAATTTCAAACGTGTATACATTTTAAAATGTACAATAATATGATATATTATGTACTTATATCCCTAAAATATATTATTGTTTATTATAGTTACGTATATTATTTTATAGTTTACAAAAATTGAAACTTATCCGTGCAGTGTGTTTTATTATTGTGTATTGTATTATAAAAAACGATGCAGTACACTATTATGAGAGTATATTATACTTATAAGATTTATCTTAGTTATAATTAATTTAATAATCGCATATAAATTAAAAGTCAGATCATCCAAAACCATTTCGGTAAAATTAATCTATGAGCGGAGTTTAACGTTTCACATGAAAAATTAAACTTTGAGATATTATACGCGAGTACTTTGAAATATATACTTGCAGTTAAAAAATCGCATTTACATATTTTTGAATAACTATATTTAACTGGTGGTGTTTTGTTTTGATTTGCAATTATAAAAATTTCAATGAATAAATTGTAAGACGTTTTTGAAGTCTTAAAATTACAACTATACAGCTTTTAGAACAATAACTATTTTATACGTGGGGGAAGACAACCAAAGACAGAAAAAGAAAATGGGGTTTTACAAATAAATAAATGTAGGTACTTATGTTTACTAATTTTTTATAAAGTATTTTATGATTTTTATAGATTATGGCTGTATCAATTTTGAGAAATTTCTATTCACATTGTTTTGTAGCGCTATTTAGATATCTAAATTAATAAAGATAATGTTCAATAGTTTTACAGAAATTCTTGAAAACATTATATAGTAATTAGTATATAAATCGCTCTCTATACATAGTCTGTATAGTGTATAATATGTATTACAGATCAAAGGATAAATAATGAAATGTATGCCACACTTAAAATGTGCCGATTTTTAATTTGTAAATCATAATAATAATTAAAAAATGCAAATTCTTCTTTTCTTTAGCCACGAATGGACGTTTAGTTTTATATATCCTAATAAAACTAGAAATAATGATTATGGATATCTGCAAAAGTATATTTGTTATTTGCAATTTTAAATAATATTACTAACTCAGCAAACGTTGTAATGATATAAAGAATTTTTTCTTGGCTGCATTTAACTAAAATAAAAACAAATAGGAGTACCAATCAAGCTTAATAATATGTGAATATGGCTTCAATAGCTTTTGTGGTTTCTGATATTATACTCAGTATTATAACAAATGTATTACAGTTATTATTTTTAAGTATCTATAGAAAAAGTCAGTATATCCATGTATTATTTATTTAATAAATGTTTTAAACTTAAACACGGATACTATTACATAGTGATCAGATTTGCTTTTAGGAAGTAGATTTAAAATTAAAGATTTCATTGATAAATTAGATAAAAGTTGTATTTTGGATTTAAACAATTTTAATTTTAATAAGCGATAAATGTATTTAAATACTTTTTTATTTTTCAAGCTTTAATATTTATTAAAATGTCAACTTATAATAACACTATCCAACCATTGTAATCCTCTAATTTTAAATTTATCTGTTCTAACATTTCAGGTGACTCCAGATGTTTAAAATGTAAAGGGTGCTGAGACCTATTAAATTATTAAACACCATTATTTTCCATCATCATACAGTTCCATCACTAAATGGATTCTTTGTGCAAGTCCAATTACCTCTACACCGTTTGTACTTATAGTAAAACATGTTTATTTATCATATAATAAATATTTAAAAAATAAATTAATACAGTTTTATTATATTTAAAAAAAAATATATTAATCCTTCTTTTATACATTTATTTTATAGTTAGCATTTTAATTTATGTTAGAACCTTTGATACATTAATTATGTATTGATTTTATAGTGGTATTATTGTTTAATTTTCGTTTTCCTTCTTTAGAAATTAGAAGTGATCTGCGTACATTTATAAGTTACTACTATTATGATACAATATAATGTATATTATAGTTGATTTTAGTAATTACGTTTTGGTCAATGTTAATTTATCATTAACATAATATTGTAGCATTTATAATATAATAATAATGTTGAACTACGAAAACATATTTTCTACGTTTAGTCTTTCAGTGTGTTTGAATTTTGATAACATTTTCAAAAATATTAGTTGGGTATAGTCTTTAGAACTCTTCAGGATTGTTATTGTTTTACTTCAAATGATAATATTATATTTATGAACATTATTTATTATTATCATATTTTCGTGTTTTTTACCTGTCTTCTACTTGATTAAAACTTAATAATAGTAATAATAAAGATATGGATGTTATACACAACGGTGCTCGTAATAGATTAGAAATTGTTATTTACCATATTTAGACTTGAATAGAACTAATTTTTTTTCTTGTTGATCAACTGGAAATATAACTTAAGAACTTGTACACATTAACTTTTTACAATTCTTCTTAGGTAACTAAAATTTAATATAGGTACCATAAAAAGTTTAAAAAAAACTTAGATTGTTTGAAGAAGTTATTATCTGGTTTGCAGTAAAGTACGTATAATACTTCTGTATAATATCTATATAAATTCAGTGAACAATAGTTACAATATATTGCCATTCGATTAAAAATATCTATCGTAATAGTATTAAGTATTATCAATAGTCTACTGTCGTTAACATTATGAGCTAGTAGTAGGAAATAAAATACAAATAATTTTTATAATTTTTATAAAAATATTCGTGATTTAACGCGTTTCATACTTAGTATAGTTTTGCTTAGACGTGGCGGCCACGTTGGACAGTTTTTTCATTTTTATTTTAAGTTTTTTTTATAGATTTGAAAATTATTATTCATTAAAATGTCCTCATATTAATAAAACTGCAAGGCTGAGTGGGTGAGGGGAAGCGTATATAACACCCACTACTTAGTTTTTCCGGCTGTTAATGAGTGTTTGTATGTAGAGGGGGTGGTTGTATATAGTGTTGAATGACGTAGTTATCGTAGTCTGTTATTATAACGAAATACTAGTTATTAAAGCGATTTTTGTTTTTAGAGTGATTGTGTTTAAAGGAGGGTCGAGTTTTGGTTAAAAACGCTTGCTCGTGACAATTAGCTTAAAATCTACCACACCACCGGATGAATCGCGACAGCTGCTGCCCACATAAAATAATAATTTATCCACGCTCTCCATAATATACATATTTAAATCAATATTTTGAAACGTTAGACCGGGATTTCACCAATTCTGCCATGTACAAACACATGCTATACTATCTTGAGCGAATAATAAAATTATTTAAATAATTTTCACATAACACCTCTGAATTTTTGTGCATATAATAAATAATAACATTATAAGCCCAAAGTTTTCACGCATGCAATTACACACAAATCGATCAAAAATTGAACGCTTTGAATTTATTTTGAACACGTCAAAACATTGCAATTTGCAAGACTACTGT